AGGGGAGGGGACAGCAAGCAAACCACGCCCCCGCCCCGCCCCCTCCCGCTCCGCTGTACCAGGCCCCGCCTGCACTCCGCGCCCCGCTTCCTGCCGCCTACCCCGCGCGCTGCCGCCGCTCCGCCCCGCCGGCCCCAGAGCCGTCCAGGTTCGGGTAGGGCCCGTCATGGGGAGGGCCGCGGGGGCTGAGCCGCCTACTCGTCGTCCGCGTTGGGGTCCGCCTCCTTTATTTCTGTTTCTTCCTTCCTCCTCTCGCCTCTCTCGCGCCTCCTCGCACCCCTGCTCTTCTTCTGCGCCCTTCCTGCACGTGCACCCGCCCGCCCAGCCCACCGATGAGAGGAGCTGGGTGTACTCCCCGCTTCACTATAGCGCGCACGCCCACCCAGCCTCCGACGGCGAGAGCGACACAGTAAGTGCGCCCGCGGCTTGCCACGCCCTGGGCCGGGGCTTCGGACCGCGCGCACCGCCCCACCTGCCCAGGGACCGGCCGGGGAGACGGAGGCCGGGGGCGGGCGGGGGCGGGGCAGCGGTGGGGCCGGGCCCCGCCCGGGAGACCCCGCAGGTGGGGGTGCCGCCCGGCCCCACCGCTGCCCTCACCCGCCCCCTTGCCTTCCGCAGTAATTTCTATGCACTCACCGCCCTGGAGCCGAGCGCCCGCCGCCGCCGCCGCCCTGGCCGCTTCGCGGAGGCACTGCCCGCCCGCCGGACCCGCCTCCGCCGCCGGCCACCGCCGCTCCTGTCAACTACCTATGACTGTGAACCTCCCTGAGTGTCCGATCACGTATTTATTTTGGGTCCTTACTCTTTGCACAAAGACGGCAGCACAGGTGTGCTTTTTTAGAAAAAGATTAAAAAAAAAAAAAGGGACGTGTGGGAAAAAGGAAGAAAGTCCACTCCACTGCACTTTGTAGTTCTTTGCTGTGCTTGCATGTGTCTCCCTGAGGGAATAAGGCCTGTTGGCTCCGGGGACCTGTGCCCGGAGCTGAGATCCACACTCCGAGGTTCTGCCGCTCTCCACTTGGACGGGGTGCCCCCGCGCCCGCAGGCACTCTGGGCTCAGGCACTGGACATCCGCCCTTGGAGGTGGCCGACCAGTCGTCTGGGGGCGGCTCTCCACCACCCCCCCCCATGTTTCCACCACCTCACCTGCCAGGTGACTCGGGAGCAGGAATGGCTAGGAGGCCACCCCTCTCCATGGAGCTCAGGACTGTGGGCCTCTCTGTCCTCCCCATGCGGCCCGCTCGGTATCCCACAGAGAGGGCCTAAGGCCTACGTGAAGGGAGACGCGCTGGGCCCTCAGGCTGTGGGACTTCCAGAGAGCGGGTCCTGGAGCAGGGGCCCTCCCATGGTCAAGTTGCTTTGCTGTCCAGTAAGAGATCCTCCCCCAGGACCGGGAAGGGCTTTCTTTTTCTTTTAAGGTGGTGACGTGTAAACAACTTAAAGGGTAGGAGACAAAGTTCTTCATGAAAAACAATAAATTTTGGGGGGTTTGTCATCTTCAGGAGCAGCTCGCCCTGGGCTCAGAGACCCCACTGGATCCAGAGGGGACTATGGGAGCCACTGGCATGGTGGGGTCTGTCCTGCCCCCCCAGAAATGCCCTCCCACCCCTTGAGAGGTGGAACAGCGGGGATGGTTTCCCCCTGCCCGCTCTGCCCCCCACCCCCACTGGCTCGCTTGCTTGGGAGGAGCTAGGAGCTGGCTTGGAGCAGAAGCTACACCTGGAAGAATTTCTCCCAGCCCTTGCCTTCCTGGCGGAGAACCCACTGATCCAGGAGTTTGGTTTTCTGAGTCCCTCATCTGGGTCCCTCACCTGCTGTCATCTCCCCTCGCATGGCTCGCTTTGTGCGCCTGGAGGGAGCCTGTTGGACTGGCTGCCGTCTGTCCAGGACAGCCAGGGACGCGCCAGCATGCAGCCTGGGGAAGGCAGCCCTGAGAGGATCCATCAGAACAAGCCTGTGGGTGTCCCAGATCAGAAGCAAAATGATGCCTTCTCCTTGTTGCCCTAGGAGGCTTTGTCCAGACGGCAGGAGGTGTCCTCACCTGGATTTCAGATGGGCATCTGTCTGCAGGTGCCCTGGCTGCATGCCATGAGTCGCCAGTCTGTCCCTACCCCTTCCTGCTGAGGAGGTGAGCAAGCAGAGGTCTGGAGGTACATCTCAGGCCTTGAAGACTAACAGGGACGACTGTGTCACCCAAAAGCCGGCATTGGAGTCCCTGCCCAGGCCCCAAAGGCCGGATGTTCAGGCACGTTGTGAGTTCTGTGGGGATGACCAGAGCAGCACGCACAGTCCTGGAACAGTGTGCCCCGTGTCCAGGGCATCCTCAGCCACTTGGAGCTTTAGGAGCAAGGAGGGGAGCTCTGCTGGTCCCCTCGGGCTTTCCTGAGTAGAATCATGGAACAAAGGCATCACTTGGATGCTGACTTGCAAGAGAAATTTGCAAGCCTCCTGGATATCATGATGTTTCTATTTTTGTGTTAGGTCGCTGAGACCTCTTTGGAGACCTGTTTTGTGTTGGTTGCATTCTTTGTCCCTTCAGAGAAGTGTCACATGGATGCTAACGTGGTCTGCAGACTATGCCGATGGGAGTTGTTTGCTTATTATTTGGGGGGCCAGGGGCGGGAAGGCAAGACTTTATTTATAATGTGTAGCAAATTCGTGGCCTTTCCCAGGCTCCCCCACCCCCAGAGGAAGGCCCTGGACCCACCCAGCTGTCGCTGATCCCCCCATAGAAATCAAAATTCCTTTGTGGCGACACCCTGTCTCCCTTGTGGCTCATCTCTGATGGCTGCGGCCGCTGAGAGCCGAGAGCCTGGGCCCTGTCCGGATGGCTGAGCTGTGAAAACGAAAGACATTTCCCGAGACTGACAAGGTGCAGCTTCCCAAGAGGCCCTGCCAGCCTCCCTCCTCCAACCTCCCCTCGCCCCTCCCTCCACTTGGCTCAGTGCAATACTCCCCTTCTGGTGGGGTCCCTTGCCATGGTACTGTCGCTGCAGCCCCTTGGTCCGTACCCTGGGCCAGCGCCTTCCACCGCCTTTTCTCTGGTGGCTCAGTTGCATCGCCTGTCCCCCACACCCCACCCCCATGTCGTTTTTATGGTCGAACTGATTTCAAAACAATGAAACTGCAAACCTTGTGTGTCTTAATTCTCTCTGGGGGTTCCATGTGCTCAGCCCCCATGGTCTGGTGTGTGACAATCCAGAGCGCGGCCTCATCGGGCACAGAATGCCGTCTCTCTCAAACCCAGAGCCGTGGGCACCTCTGTAACTGTGCAGACCTGCTGGCCCCGAATAACATATGCAGCCTCGGGCCCCCCTCCCCGCCACCCCTCCTCCTTTTTATGTTGAAGAGTTCTCTCTAATAAAATCGGGTAATAAGCATCAGCCCTCTTTCTCTCTGCCTCTGTGCATTCCCGGGGTCTGCTTGGGAATTTAAGGACTGACTTTGAACGAGGGCAAAAAGAAACCTTGATCGTATTTTTAAAATAACAACAGGACCCAAGGCCTTAATAGCCGTGGCCTCCTTCGGGTTCCAGTTGAGTTCAGAAAACTTAAAAAAATTTCTGACAGTGCCGCCCAGTTCAAAAGAACAAACACTCCCCAAAGTTTGTATTGGTTCTGCCAGAGTTGCTCAAATTGGGTAATGCATGGACCCCTTTTAAGAGGAAAACATTTCGGGCGTCTGGGTGGCTCAGTTGGTTAAGCGACTGCCTTTGGCTCAGGTCATGATCCTGGAGTCCCAGGATCGAGTCCCACATCGGGCTCCCTGCTCGGCGGGGAGTCTGCTTCTCCTTCTGACCCTCTTCCCTCTCGTGCTCTCTATCTCTCATTCTCTCTCTCTCAAATAAATAAAATCTTTAAAAAAAAAACAAAAAGAGGAAAACATTTCTCCAGGATTCCCAACTGGAGAGAAGCTGCTTTGGAAGTAAGATCCCATCCCCATAAGCAGGCCCTTGGAAACCCGGTTTCATCATGTTGCAGAACCGCACAGCTCATTTATAGACGCGCAGATGAGATGATCTGGAATGTCCTTACCATCCCATCCAAAGATGAATATGCACGTACTCTCAAAGCTATATCTGCGTTTTGACAGCCACAGGGCCAGCCCCCTCACGTTTTATCCACATCCGCTGATGAGCTGGCTTGTTATCAAGGGTGGTGGAAGATGGTCTTCGGAAATTCCTCCGTGCCACCAGCCCCACCCTGTGCCTTGGCACCAAGCAGAGCGTGCAAACCTAGCATTCAGGATGAGGTCGTGAAGTTGTATGTTAAGGTGAACATTTGAAGAGCTTAAACTAGAACATGAAGTACCATCCTCTGGGGTGGGCTGGGGGAGCTTGGAGCAGACACTTCGGGGTCTTCCAGCCCTACCTGCTGTAGTCCTTCTTGGCCACCAGCCCAGCAGGGACTCCACCTAAGAACCAGCGCGCTCGCCCCTCTCTCCCCGCTCAAAACCCTCCCGTGACTCCCCAGCACCCACAGAACAAAGCTGCACGACCCAGTTCAGATCCCAGCTCCATGTTGCCTCGCTGGGGCTGGGGCTGGGGGTGGGGGGACTTTAATAATCTCGCAGTTCCCGCGCCCGCACCGGCCCAGAGACCTCGCCCGCGCGGCTCGCCTCCCTTTGGCCCCGCCTCTTCCTGTTCCCGCCTTCTGGGCCCCACCCACGCCGGCTCCACTTCCCCTGGGTCCCGCCTCCCCAGGCTCCGCCCCACTCGCTGTTCCTGGTTCGTTCTTGCTCCGCCCACAGTCCCTAGGCTCCCCCACCAAGGCGAGAGGACCCACATAGAGCTGTCCCTAGCACTGCCTAAGGCCGAGCCCCCAACCCTGGAGAGGAAAGCCTGGCCGGAGTCCGTCATACGGGCCACGTTTGAGGTCAGTGGAGAGGTTATGGGGCGTCGGAGCCCCTGGGGGATGGGGCAGCGAGATGGGTTTCCTTCTCCCGGCTCAGGCGCGGACGGGGCAGCCCGGCGTGCGCCGCAGAGGAGGAAGGCCCCCGGCGCAGGCCCCGGATATTTGTGTCAGCGCTGCCGCCACGGTCTCAGCTGATGGGTCGGGATACACGCTCGCGCTCGCGGTCGGCTGGTCGCAGGGGCCGCAGGCAACGGAGCGGTAGTCGAAGTCGGAGCGGGAGCCATGGGCGGCGAAACCGCCGGCGCCGGGACGACGAAGTACGGCGCAGGCGGAGGCGGCAGAGCCGGGAGCGCAGGTGGGGTCGCTGCGTGAACGGCGCTGGGGATCCGGCTCCTGCCCTCGGGGAGCCAGAGATCCTCGAATTAGTCAGAGAGGGCTTCCTGGAGAAGGGGACGTCCGAGTGCGAGTCGCAGTTAGGAAGCGAAAGGAAAGAGAGGCGCTCCAGGCAGGGCACCTGGTGGTTGGAGGGACAGTAAAGGAGCGCAGTGAGCGAGGCGGGGCGGAGGGGAAGTGGGAGAGGAGGTCGGGGCGATAAGAGACCGGATCGTGCAGTTTTGTGTACCGTGCTGAAGGGTTTGGCCGCTATTCGGAGGGAAGTAGGAAGCCATGGGAGGATTTTGAGTGATGTAGTCTGGCTTACTTTGTGGAACTTCCTCCGGTTTTCGCGTGGGAAAGGGACTGAGGAGGTTGGCAGGAGTGACAACAGGGAGGAGGAGAATGGTACGGTTGTCTAGGCAACAGATGGTGGTGGCTTTCAGAGAGGGAGGCAGTGGGAGGCACAGTGGGGAAAGATTTGAGAGGGATTTCCTAAGTAGAGGTGACAGCACCTGCTATTGGAAGTGGGTGTCAGAGGAAAGAACTGTGGGTGACAGGTGGCAGGCCTGGGTTGACTCCAAGGACCTGGGTCTCAGCTTCCCCGCAGCCCACAGTCGTGTCCTTTTGGAAATGGGACACCTGTCCAGGCTTAGCTTGAGTCTGCTCCAGCACAAAGGGACCAGACGGTGCCAGGGACTGACTTTCAGACCTAGGTCCCAGTGCTAACTCAGCCCCTAACTGGCTGTGACCCTCAGGCCAGTCCCTGCCCCACTGTGGTCCAAGTTTGCTCCTCTGTGTACTCACGACTTCCCTGGGGCCTCTCCCAGCATGCCTTGTCTCCCATCCTGTTGGCTTGTTCACACCGCAGCCACGGTGGCTGTAGTCGGACGTGGCTCATTGCTCTCTACATTTGAAAAAGTGGTTTTTCGGGCGCCTGGGTGGCTTAGTTGGTTAGGCGACTGCCTTCAGCTCGGGTCATGATCCTGGAGTCCCGGGATCGAGTCCCACGTCGGGCTCCCTGCTCAGCGGGGAGTCTGCTTCTCTCTCTGACCCTCTTCCCTCTCGTGTTCTGTGTCTCTCATTCTCTCTCTCTCTCAAATAAATAAATAAAATCTTTAAAAAAGAAAAAGTGGTTTTTCTTTTTGAGTCTCTTAAGATCATTGCAACCCGGGACTTTCAAGAAGTTATAAGAAGCAGAATGGGAATAACACATGGTTTAACCAGGGCTTGGCAGCCTGCAGCCTGGAAGCCAAGAATGGTTTTTAATGTTTTTTTTAAAGATTTCATTCATTTATGAGAGAGAGCACACCGGCGCGCGTGCACGAGCAGTGGGAAGGGGCAGAAGCAGGCTTCCCGCTGAGCAGGGACGCGCCCCCCCCCCCATGCGGGACTTGGTCCCAGGACCCTGAGATCATGACCTGAGCCCAAAGCAGACACCTAATGACTGAGCCACCAGGCGCCCTTGGTTTTTACATTTTTAGTTGGTGAGGGGAAAAGTCAGAAGAGGAATAGTATTTCAGGACATGTGAGGATGTTATGAGATACTCGAATACATTCAAGTTTTGGTGTGCGGAAGTAAAAGCTTATTGGGACCCAGCCATGCCCATTCATTCCTGTCTGTCCAGAGCTACTTATGCTCTGCAACAGTGGAGTGGCAGACTTGTGTCCTCGACCGTCTGGCTCTTTACAGAGAAAGTTTGCCGGCTCTGGTGTGAGCCCCTGGTGTCGCTGTTTTCCGCATTGGTTCATGTACAGCAGTACGTTTTATTGTCATTGGTGCATCTTTCATACCTGCTGTTTCCTATATTTGAATTACGATAATCAGCCATCCCGGATGAGTAATTCGAATTGGCACTTAATGAAAATTTGGTTAAACGTGTAGTCTGCATACAGACACTCCAAAATAATTGGTTTTCGTGGTGTAGACTTTTTGACGTGAGCTTAATGGGTGCAGCATTTAACAGAATAAAGAGACTTGGTTGTTCCTCTCCGCATTCAAAGGCCCCTGACCATTAACGAATCTACCCCTGCAGCTCGTGCATTCCATTCCCTGATCACAGTGTTTTTGCCTGGTTTTCAGTCCTGCGAGTCTTACTCCGGTTCCCTCTTGCCCATCCTGTGGGACCAGTTTAAACAGCACCTTCTCCTATAAGCTCCCTCTTGTCACCTTGGACAGATCAGGTCTTCTGGTTTCTACACTTTCAGTTCCTGCACCGTCAGGACCCAGCCTGCCTCCCTGCCCTCACTCCTTCCCTCACTCCCCCTTGTTCACACTTTTCCGGCCACATGGGCCTCCTGCTGCTTCTTGAACATGCCAGGTAAATTCCTGCCCCAGGGCCTTTGCTCTTGCTATGCCCTCTTCATGGATTACTCTCTCCCTGTAGCATCCTCCCCCACTTCCTCCAGAGTTGCCTCCTCAGATCTCCATCTTCTCATGCTAAGTCACTCTTCTTTTTGATTTCTAGCACTATTTAGTGTCGTGCTGCATGTTTATTTGTTGATGTGAGCCTCCCAAAGGCAGGGGCTGTCAGTATCACTGCTGGTCACTGCCATATCCCCAGAATCCGGAACAGTGCCCTGCACAGCAGGTACTCAGGAAACATCTGTCACACAAAGGACTGACTGGCAGGCAGTGAGCAGACCTTTGTGATTCCCTCCACAGGTCAGATTCGGAGGAAGAAAGGTGGCAGCGGCGAAGGAGGCAGAGCCCGAGCCCACTGCCACCACGCTGGCGCTCACAGGACCGGTCCTCTCAGTCCGACTCGGAGGAGGAGCAGCAGGAGCGGCAGCGGGGCCGATGGGCCCGCCGGCGGCGGACACGCTCTTGGTCCCCGGGCTCCTCGGCTTCCAGCTCTGCCTCCCCAGACCACTCCCAGAGCCCTCGGGAGGCGGCGGCAGCCCTGAGCCAACAGCAGAGCTTGCAGGAGCGGCTGCGGCTGCGGGAGGAGCGGAAGCAGCAGGAGGAGCTGATGAAGGCCTTCGAGACCCCCGAGGAGAAGCGGGCCCGGCGGCTGGCCAAGAAGGAGGCCAAGGAGCGGAAGAAGCGGGAGAAGATGGGCTGGGGGGAGGAGTACATGGGCTACACCAACACCGACAACCCCTTCGGGGACAACAACCTCCTGGGCACCTTCATCTGGAACAAGGTGAGCCTGTTGCTGCCCTCGGCACGTGGCGCGCGTCCTTGGCAGATTTTTCCTGCCTTTCTCGTGGTTTTGTTTTACGTGCCTGTTACGACATCTGCTTCAAGAGACGTGATTGAGCACGCACAGCACGCGTTCCCGGGTGGTGCTTTGCCGCTGAGAGTTTATTTTAGACGTGCGCACGTGCATGCGCCCTGGTGCGTGGTGGCTTGTACCGCGTAAACGTTCCTGCCGTGTAAAATTTCAGGTGCTCTGCCCAAAACACCGGGCCAAGCTCCAGCGTGACTGGAGAGTGGGTTCTCTGCATCACACGCCCGAGACAGGTGCTCAGTCGTCTCGGTGCCGACGGCTCACGCACGGATCACGTACCCGGCCGGTGGCGGCCTCGCGCAGAGGACTTAAAGCCACAGATTTTGTCGCCCGGTTTTGGAGGTCAGATGTCGACAGAGTCCCGCTCCCTCAGGAGGCTCTAGAGGAGAGTGCCCTCCCGCCTCCTGCAGCTTCTGGTGGCCGCTGGGGCCCCTCGGCCCTTGGCAGCGTCACCCCAGCCCCTGCCTCTGTCGCCACCTTCACGTGGCCATCTTTCCTGTGTGTTCCCCTTCTGTCTTGTAAGGACACCGGTCATTGGTTCAGAGCCCAGCCTCACCCCACGTGAGCTCATCTTAACCCATTACATCTGCAGAGACCCTGTTTCCACGTAAAACCCCCTTCCCAGCTTCCAGGGTTGGGAAGGTGACGTATTTTGTCAGAGGACACGGTTTAACCGTAACGCAGCCCCCGCCTGTTGCAGGGAGGCAGGTGGCCTGCGGTGGCGGGAGCAGGCAGGCACAGTCAGATGCCGTGGCGTCTGCCACTCACCACGTGCACTCCAGGCCTCTGTCTAGAACACACCGGCCCATGCCACCTTGGGGCCTTGGTACTCACCATTCCTCCGCCTGGAACACTCCCCACCTCTTTCCATGGCTGCTGCTTTCTCATTCCTTCAGATCTCAGCTGACCCGGTCCCTCTCCTAAGAGCCTTGTTGGCCCCCCGTAGTCCCACGAGTCCTGGCGCTGCATCTCCTTTCCTAGCACTTAACTGACTCACCTGTTCCGTGCACCTGCTGGTGCCGGGGGCCATGCGGGCCAGGCATGCGTCAGTGAGCTGGAGAGACAAAGACCCCTGTGGAGCCGGCAGCCTCCTGGGGGAGAGACTGTAAATAAGTAGATTAGCCAAGTGCACAGAGGAGAGAGGGCAGGCAGGCATCGGGGTGCTGTTTGAAACAAGCAGGTCCAGAAAGGTGTTGTTGCAAAGTGTACCTCTAAACAGAGGCTCTGATTCATAATGTGTGATTCCTGCCAGACTGAGCTCCACGGGGCAAACTCTGCCCCCAGAGCCTGGCACACGGTCGGCACTCGGTAAGTGTCGAATGAACAAGTTCGGGGTGGTTTGTACACACGTGAGCTTGGGCATTTCCCCAGCAAGTCTTTCTTGGAGCGCACACTGGCTTTGGGGAATTTGCCCCACGGGAGGGCTTCATCAGTCCCTCCGGTGATAATCACTGGGTGGCTCGACCCCAGCTCAGCCTCTGAAGCCTCTCTGGACAGGCCCGCAGTTTGGGCAGCATCGCGTGTCTGTCCCCTTGTCCCAGGGCCGCTGGCTGACAGCATGGACAGTCATGACGCAGACTGCTACCGTGCTCCATGCTGGGCGTTGTTCAGAGTGCTATCCACATGTTGACTCTCCCTAACGCAGCCTTGTCAGCTCGGGCTGCTGAGTTGCTCACCCATGGTCTCCCCGCTCACGAGTGGCAGAGCTGTGATTGGAACCAGGGCTGCCGGGCTCCTCGTCTGTGCTCTCAGTTGCTGTTCTGTGTGGCCGTAGGTGACAAGTACAGTCACTGTTAATATGTGTGGTGGCAGCCCAGGCTGAGGCAGGGGAGGCCAAGGAGCAGCCCGGGCATCCAGGGGTGGCCCCAAGCCGGGCAGCCCTGTGTCCTGCCGGAGGCACGTTCTGGGCACTGGGAGAATCCGTGCACAGCCCTCGCAGCCGGGGGAGCGCTCATCAGAAGTGCAGGCTTAGCGCCCAGCTCAGGCAGTGACTGTAAGGGGACGTTGGAGGGCTTGAGGGGTCTCCAGCCCCGTACCTCGAGCAGCCTCCTCAGGTGAGGACACGGGGAAGAACCACGTTCACTGTGTCGTGTGGTGCTCCAGGGGTCTGTGAGCGTGGGGACCATTGTTCCCCTCGTAGCGACCCCGGGCAAGTGTGCTTTCTGAGTCTGTCTCTCCTTCCATCGCTGTCCTGCCTCTGCCCACACGCAGTGGGCATCTGACCAGTGGGCATCTGAGGGCTTAAACCCCACAGAGCTGGCCCAGCGAGGCTTCTGTGTAAACCAGGGCAGTGGGTCCCACGAGAGGTGCTCCCGTGGGTGACAACTCGGGAGCCCCCATGGGGGGTGGCTGCCTCTCCTCTGCACGTTAGCGTACATCTCACCCACGCTGGAGGCTGGTCCAGAGCATTGCATTCTATCACATTAGGTCTGGGAATGCTAAGGGGGCGGCGTCTTCAGTGGAAGTCAGTGAGGTGTGGCCGTGGGCAGGTCGTTTCTTTCGGTCTCGTGGTCTTGTCTTCAAAAACACCGCTCATCCTGGTGGATCTCGATCTGAATCTTGCGGAGGAGTGCCTGGAACACCCTTGGTAGGTGGTGCCTGGGAAGGTGGGAGGGAGCATCTCTGCTCAGTGGGTGTGTGCTTGGCCCTTCCAGGCCCTGGAAAAGAAGGGGATCAGCCACCTGGAGGAGAAGGAGCTGAAGGAGCGGAACAAGAGAATCCAAGAGGACAATCGCCTGGAGCTGCAGAAGGTGGGGTTGCCCCTGGCCTGCCTACATGGGGTCAAGAGGCCTTCCCTTGTGAGGGCTTAAAGGCTCACCCAGGCTTATGTCAAGGGAGACCCGATTGGCTTACACAGAAAGTCCAGGGGAACTGGCTTCAGGCACAGCTGGATGCAGGGGTTCGGGCAGTGCCTCCAGCAAGCTGTCTCCCTCCACCTCTCGGTTCTGCTGACCTCTGGGTCAGACACTCTCAGACGCTTCCTTCAAGGTGACCAAAATGACCCTGGCTGCTACAGGCTGCTGTGTTTCGAGCAGAAAGAATGCCCCTCTGTCCTAGGGTCTGTCCGAGGCCTTGGGCTTCCCTGACCAGTCCAAGTCCAGGGCTGGTGGGCTGGGGGCAGGCCTGGGTTATATCCCACCCCTGACCCCAGGGCGCCCCATGGCCTAAGAAGAGTACAGGGCAGGCCCCACGAGACCCCCATCTGGCTGTTATGGGCCGCCTGTACTCCCCGTCGGCCCCCTGCGCCCCCAGGTGAAGCAGCTGCGGCTGGAGCGGGAGCGGGAGAAAGCCATGCGGGAGCAGGAGCTGGAGATGCTGCAGCGGGAGAAGGAGGCGGAGCACTTCAAGACATGGGAAGAACAGGAGGACAACTTCCACCTTCAGCAGGCCAAGCTGCGGTACGTGGGCCGCAGACACGGTGCTGCCTCCGCCACCCGCTGCCCTCCTCCGGGCCCAAACACATGGAGCCCTGCCTGCCCCAGGGCCTTTGTACATGCTCTTTCTACTGCCTGGAGCCTTCTGCCCTGGCTGGTGCCCCTTGCCCTTCAGGTTTCCACCCATCACCTCCTCAGGGAGTCCCTCCCTGACCCCCCTTCTGGTGCTAACCCTTGCTGTGTGCGCCACTTCCTGTTCACTTCCTTCCTTGAGCCTGTCTCCGCCATTGAGTCCCGTGCCAGGGAGACATCTGAATGGTCCTTGCTCCGCGTAGTGCTGCTACATGAGCGAGCAGGGTGCTAGACCCCAGGCTGGTATGGTCATCCCTCTCCACCCCCCAGCCCCCAGGCGTATCTGTTCATCAGGCCCAGTCACAGACAAGGACCCATGAGCGCCTGACGCCACACAGCAGGCATCTGAGCCCAAGGTCTGGCGTGTGTGCCCCGGGAACCCGCTCCTGGCCCCCTCTGCCCTGCTGCCTGCTGGCTACACCAGCCCCCAAGGGCTCAGACCTACCTGGTTACAGGGCTCCCTTGGGTTGGACCAACGTCAGCCTCTTGACACGTGTCCCCACGGGTGCAGCACTGAGGCTTCTGATCTCCACCCCAGCAGCCCATCCACTGGGAGGAGGTGGTCTTCTCTGCCCCACTCTGTCCCCCCAGCCCGCCCCACTCCCACCTGCTGCTCTTCAGATGCCATGCTTGCCTGTGTCCGGGCCTGTGTCTTTCACCTGTCTCGTTCCTGTGTGGTGCTCCTCTTCGAGGAAGACTTCTTTGACCACCACCCGCTGCAGGCCAGACTCTTCCCCTGGCTCCCACGCAGGTCACTCCTCCAGGGCATGGCCTTCAGGAGGGGAGGGGGGCACATCCTGGGCTCTGACACCGCTTCCCTGCTCTCTGGCAGCTCCAAGATCCGCATCCGGGACGGGCGAGCCAAGCCCATTGACCTGCTGGCCAAGTACATCAGTGCTGAGGACGATGACCTGGCCGTCGAGATGCACGAACCGTATACCTTCCTCAACGGCCTCACTGTAGCTGACATGGAGGACCTGCTGGAGGACATCCAGGTACCACCTGGCCCCACTGCTTGCATCCGGGCCCCTGGGACAGCCCTTCACTACGCTCACCCCTCTGCACTTCCCTCCTCCAGGTGTACATGGAGCTGGAGCAGGGAAAGAACGCAGACTTCTGGCGGGACATGACCACCATCACGGAGGATGAGATCGCCAAGCTCCGCAAGCTGGAGGCCTCGGGCAAGGGCCCAGGTAACCAACCCAGAGCTGGGGCCAGGGTAGCCAGAAAGTACCCAGTGTGCTCTTGGGGGCACGTGGCTGGGTCTGCTAGGAGCTGCCTTGGTCCGGGTGGCTCCCCACAGAACCTCGGGCTTGTTGCCTGCCTCAGTTTCCCCATCTGGGGTCACTGTGGCCCTCTGGAGGCCTCTCCGGGAGCCACCAGGGGGCAGCAGCAAGTGCTCCAGACCCTGAATGGGTCAGGCAGGGCTCAGAGCCCAGCAGTGTGCCTGCCCACCAGCTTCCTTTAAGCGCTTGTTCAGCCACGCTCTGCTTTCCTGGGAGTAGTCCCGGTGGGGCCTTGTCTGTTTGGGTTTCAGGTTTTTGCTGGCGGCTTGGTGTGTTTGAGCGACAGCAGGACTGGGGACTCGGCTCTGCTTGTCTGGGACCCCCCTGGAGCCCCAGTCTGTCCAACCTGATGTTCTCTTTCAATTCACTTTCTTTCCTTGGAGGTGGCCACACACACGCATAACCTCTGGGGGAGTGAGCTCTGGAGCTCAGTTTCTCGTGCTCAGCACTGCAGTTACTGGGCCCCCGCCCACTCCGTGTCCGGAGCAGCCTCAGTCCTGACAGCTGCAGGTGTCCCCAGGCAACACCTTGTGTCGCCTGGGGGCAGAATCGCCCTGGGTGAGAACCACTGTTCTAGAGGTTTAGAACCAATTGCATTCCCACCCCTCCACCCTTTGAGGCCACCCCTCAGACAGCGCCCGGCTTCTTTGGGCCTCGTGTGGGCCCTGTCCTAGGCCCTGCTTCTCCTAGGCGTGGTGGTGGCCAAGGATACGCGCCCTCCCCCTCCTCCACGCCTGTCTTACTCACACGGGGTGGGGGGCTGGTTTCCTCTTAGGAAAAGGAGGAGTGTCTTTCGTCATCTTTGTAAGTGGAGATTTGTTGTCCTGCGTCCTCGTCTCGGCAGGGCGTGTCCCTTAGTAAGTTCAGAAGAAAAGGAAATTCTTTGCTCTCGGATATGCGTGAGGAGGTATCTCCTTTGGTGGCAGTGGGCTGGGTATAGAACTGTGGTCGGAAGAGCAGTGACCGGGGGCCGGGGTGGCCCTGGTGCAGGTCCAGGCCACCAGGCAGCTCGGTGACCTCCTGGGAGCCTGGTTGTCTCTTTTGTCCCCTGGGGATGGCAGGGTACCTCCCCGAGTGTCAGAGGAGAGGAAACGAGTAAATGGTTGTTAGGCCCTGGAAACGGCGCAGGCCTGTGTGACCGAGGGCCGTAGCACGCGGGCCTCCGCTGGCCGCAGGCCTCCACCCCTGCCGAGGCGGCCAGGCCCGCCACAGCGTCCCCTCGGGCCCCTTTCTCCTGTCGCCATGCCCTCTGTCCCTCTTGTCCCCCACCTCACGGGGCTCCCCTTTGCTCCGCTGTGTCGGAGCCCCTCTTTCTGTGACCCCACATCTCCCTTTCTTGTGTTTTGTGCCCTTGTGTTGGGGGGACACATCCTCCAGTAACTTCTGGCGAAAAGCAGGAAGTTCTGGGACGTCATGCGCTTCAGGAAATGTGCTTTGCCTCCCCTCTGGCTGGTGGCCGCAGTGCTGGGGATAGAACTGGGGGGCCTGGGCGTTCTCCTGCAGACGCCGGAGACCCCGACCCACCGTCTGGGGAGGAGTGAGGGCTGTCCCGCCATGTGCCCCCCTATGCACAGCTCCCCTGTGCCTCTCTTGCCGGCTGCCCCCATGGTGGGCCCCTCGCTGGTCGTCCCCTTCTGCGGCCGCTTCCCTTCTCCCGGTGATGGCAGAGGCCCCGCTTCCCCTTTCCCTCCTCACTGGTTACGGCAGGGGTCCCAGCTAGCTCTGGCTGCCCTCATAGATGAGCTTGCTTTCCGGCATCTCTTTTTGGCATGATTTCCAAGAGGTCTCGGCTCTGTTGTTCCAGGAGACCTGAAAAGCACCGTGTGTTGTCTTTACCAATTCAGTTGAGGTTTTTTTTTGGTTTTTCTCTTGTTGGTAACCAGGAACTTGTAACTGTACAATAAGAGTGGGCGTCCGCGGTGGGCCCCCCACTACCATTCCCTGTGGGTCCTCCCCGTGGTGCTGCCCTCTCTCCTGAGCACTGTCCCAAGGAGTGCTCCCAGCAGCTCAGCAGAGCCGCCCCAGCCCCCACCGGGATCCAGCTGGGCCCTGTGTGTTCTGGACCTGGGACCTGACTTTATTCAAACCGTGTAGCAGAGTGTGGCTCAGGTGGAGCCACGCCAGCGGGTGCTGGCTGTGTGGGTCGTGAGTTCTGTGTGCGTGAACGCGGGATGCGGCCCCACAGGCGGCGGGGGGGAGTTGTCACCGAATTCGGTTTTGGTCCCATAATGTTTCTGTGCTTGTCACAGATTCAGCCGGTCTGAGTCTAGGGCTGCCTGGGATGCTCAGCTGTCTGGCAGAGGAGCTGAGTCTCTAGGTGCTGATTCCAGGGTCCCCACATTGGTTGGCTAGAGCAACCCTTCGTGACCCTAACTGACCAGCTGCAGCCCTGTGTCCAGCGGGAGGGCTGCCGGAGCCAGTTTTCTGGAACAGGACACGCATGCCACCCGTGCATCCCTGCATTCAGCAGCAGCTGCACACCAAGCTCCCATGGGCCTAGCACTGTGCCAGGGAGGCAGCATTCAGAAGCCCCACAAGGTCTCCGCCCTGGGGAAGCCACAAATCAGGCCAAAGGGAGCAGTCTGGGAAGCAAATGGACAAGGAAGATCATGTTGCCGGTGGAAAGCAACATGTGTGCACAGGCCCCGTGGCAGGGCTTGGTGTCTCTGACGAGTGGAAAGGGAGCTGGTGAGCCAGAGCAGGTCACGCCAGGCGGCACCCAGCCCCGCCCTCAGGGGCCTCTCAGTCTATCGGGGAGGGACGTGGCCCTGGGCCCCCAGCTCGTGATGGATGCAGGACGGGGACACGCTTGCCTCGGGGCAGTGTCAGGACTCTGCAAAGCCTGGGAAACGAGCAGCTCTCCTTACTGGGGGAGGAGCCAGGCCCAGAAACGGTGAACCGCTTACCCAAGGTCACACAGCCAAGATTGGCAGAGCAGGATCTGGATTCCCGAGAGTCTGGCTGTCCGGCGATCCCTCCTTGCTCCTCCGATGCAGTGGGAGTGGCAGGCCGGGCATGCCAGGCTGAGGTGCTCAGACTTGGCCCAAGGGTCAGAGCGGGGAGAGGCTGGAAAACACCCACCTGGCTCCCCCCCAGCCCAGAGTCAGAACCATCCCAACTAGGGTCCGTGGCCTGGTGCCCCCTTCACGTGTGTTAGGATCCAGCCAGAGGCAGGGGTGAACCGGAGGCCAGGAGGAGGCAGGACCCCAGGACCAGAGGAGGGGCAGTGTGGGCAAAGGGAAGGGTCAGCATCCTGGCCCCGTGCTGAGTGGCCCGTCCCCTGCAGGTGAGCGGCGAGAGGGGGTCAACGCCTCAGTCAGCTCTGACGTGCAGTCGGTCTTCAAGGGCAAGACGTACAGCCAGCTGCAGGTCATCTTCCAGGGCATCGAGGGCAAAATCCGGGCTGGGGGCCCCAACCTGGACATGGGCTACTGGGAGAGCCTCCTGCAGCAGCTCCGCGCCCACATGGCACGCGCCAGGTCAGCCCTGCCCCCGGCCTCTGCAGGACATGGGAGCCGGCTCCTGTGTGACCTCGGGGAGCCTCTGCCCCCTGGAGTCGGGGTCCCGGGCAGCGGGCAGGGCCTCTGGGGGGTCAGCAGGCATCACGGCGGGCCCTGAGCCCCCCCGCCTCCCTCCCACCCCACATCCTCTGTGTACAAATTCTCAGCGTGTTTGGCCGCGCCATGTAAACGCAGCGCCTGTCTGCTGCAAACTGTGCAGAGCTGTCTCTAAGTTTATTCTCCCCTGCTGGCGTCCTACGTCCTGCTCAGCCCAGCTTGGGGGCTCCCATGGCACACGAGTCCCCGGTATGGGGACCCACAATTCCCAACCGTGGAGTGCTGCTCCCGGCAGGGTGTGTGACCGAGTCCCATGTTTCTCGGTGCTGAAGCCTGGCCCTCGGCACCCCCTCCCAGCCCCCGCAGCCGCAGGCCTCTGCAGAGCCCCGGGCAACCCCCCCCCCGGTCCTCCACAGGGGCTCCTTGCTGCTCTCCCAGGACCCTCGCCAAGAACAGGGGTCAGGACGAGGGCTGGGGGGGAGGGCAGGGTGACCTCCAGCCCCCGTTCCAGGCTCCGGGAGCGTCACCAGGACGTGCTGCGGCAGAAGCTGTACAAGCTGAAGCAGGAACAGGGCGTGGAGAGTGAGCCTCTGTTTCCCATCCTCAAGCAGGAGCCCCCATCCCCTGGCCACAGGTAGCCGCCTCCTGTCCCCCTCCCCACCCCCAGGTAGGCCGCCTCCCGTCCCCCTCCCCACCCCTCAGCCAGGGACCTCCTAGGGGTCCTGGGCCACCCTCCCACCCCACCCCCCCATCCCACACCCCACCCTGCTGCTGCCGGCCTGGCGCAGTCCATCCTGCTCCCCTCCTCAGCCTGGAACCCGAGGACCCAGTGCCCACCCCACCTGGGCCCTCGTCGGAGGGCGGCTCCGGGGAGCCTGAGGCAGAAGGGGCAGCGCCCGCGGAGGGCGAGGCGGACGGGGAGGCCGTGCTCATGGAGGAGGACCTGATCCAGCAGAGCCTGGACGACTATGACGCCGGCAAGTACAGCCCCCGGCTGCTCACGGCCCACGAGCTGCCGCTGGACGCCCACGTGCTGGAGCCTGATGAGGACCTGCAGCGCCTGCAGCTGTCGCGGCAGCAGCTCCAGGTCACAGGTGCGGGGCGTGGGGACCTGCTCCGGCCTCCCGAGGGGCCCTGCTGGGGGGCCACCCACAGGTCTCTAACCACCAAGGCCCTCTGGCTGCTCGCGGGGGGACACAGGCTCTTTGGTGCCCACCCAGAGGGACGCTTGGAGCTGGCTAGCACCGGGCCGGGGCGGGCTGCGTTGGGACCGGGCCCACCTCTCCATCTGCCCCTGGAAGTGGGGGCAGGCGGGGGGTGGGGGGGTGCCCCGCTGGGGGGTGGGGGGCAGCTCGGTGTGGTGACGGGGGGAGCCGAGGCCCAGGGCCGCTGTGCCGGCTCACGCAGCCCCGCTTGCAGGTGACGCCAGCGAGAGTGCGGAGGACATCTTCTTCCGGCGGGCCAAGGAGGGCATGGGCCAGGACGAGGCGCAGTTCAGCGTGGAGATGCCGCTGACGGGCAAGGCCTACCTGTGGGCCGACAAGTACCGGCCGCGCAAGCCGCGCTTCTTCAACCGTGTGCACACGGGCTTCGAGTGGAACAAGTATAACCAGACGCACTATGACTTCGACAACCCGCCGCCTAAGATCGTGCAGGGCTACAAGTTCAACATCTTCTACCCCGACCTCATCGACAAGCGCTCCACGCCCGAGTACTTCCTGGAGGCGTGCGCTGACAACAAGGACTTCGCCACCCTGCGCTTCCACGCCGGGCCGCCCTACGAGGACATTGCCTTCAAGATTGTCAACCGCGAGTGGGAGTACTCGCACCGCCACGGCTTCCGCTGCCAGTTCGCCAACGGCATCTTCCAGCTCTGGTTCCACTTCAAGCGGTACCGCTACCGCCGGTGACGGCCAGGCCCCACCCCCCCACCCCAGGCCGCCGGGCCGCCTGCCCCCCTTCCCCCTGCGGCGGCCTCCCCTGGCCTTCCCCTCACCCAGACCCACTTTCCCTGTCGGGAACCGGGGGGAGGGGGGTCACTGGGGAACCTGCCCCGTAGCACTGACAGGACGGGGTGCCAGGCTTTTGAGGCGCAGGGACCCAAGTCCAGGGCAGCTGCAGGACCCCCACCGCTGGCCCTTGCCCAGGCTGGCCCGGTGCTGCTGTGGGTCAGCCTCCGCCTGCTGGGTGGGCATGGAAGACCCCTCTGCCATCGGGTCCAGCAGCCAGAGGCCACAGAGACGTTCACAGGCACCCCCACCCGACCCGGGTGCCCCCGCATGTTGGGACAGCTGCATTCCTGGAGACCACCTCCCAGCCAGCCCGGAGCTGCCCTTGCATCCCTGTGTGTGGCCGAGCTTGGCTGCGGGGCTGACAGGTGCGGCCACCACCCACTCACACGCTGCCCCAGAAACGTTGCTTCCGACGCCTTGTTCCAGACACGTTTCCAGCCTGAAGGGGGATGACCCCTGGCGCCGGCTTCCCCCGACGGCCGTACCCACGCTCCCCGTTCCGTCTGGAAGCGTTTTAGGTTGTTTCTCTAAAATGACTTTTTTTTAGGTGGGGGGGAAATATCTTATTTTCATTTAATTGGTCTACTCATGAAGTTGCATTTTTTTTTAATAAACACTTTATTTTAGAATACTTCTAGAGTTTCAGAAATGCCGCACTGTCTGGAGCCCCAAGCCCCGCCGCCACAGGTGGGCGTGTTGTTTCCGTCTCCTGTGGGCAGAGCACACACGTTACAACCAGGGCGAGAAGACCTTCCACGACAGCACTTAATGGTGGCGGCGGCCCCCCCGGAAGCTTCTCGCTGTCTGCAGGTGTCCTGGTCTTTGCCCCCCCACGGCTTCACCTCCCCCGGCGCGCCTGACCAGCTCGAGCGCAGATGCTGGGAGGTGAGGAGCTGCTCTCCCGGCGTGGGGGATGGCGGTCTGTGGTCATCACGCTGGGGGCAGGGGTGGAGGGTCTCCAGGCCAGGAGGGGGGCGCGGGTGCTGCTCGGCCCCCCACAGCGCCCAGGCTGCCCTCAGGACAGAGGACCATCCGGCCCAGCGTCCATGGCCAAGACTGACCGTCCCCGCGCCACTGGTCGCCCCAACCCTGTCTTAATACTCTCCCAGGAGCACCTGGCATAGCCCAGGCCTCTCCTCCACCCTGCCCCACCTCACACAAGCACACGGCAGCAGGGAGGTGGGTCTGGTCAAGGGGCCTCGGAGCTCTGAGCTGGGGACATAAGCTGGTCCACTCACACCAGCCTGGTGCATGCCGGGTGGCACATGGAGCACATCCGGCCCCTTCACCACCCCTGACAGACATCACTAATTCATCACTGACTGCCAGGGCGACCTTCATATCTTGCATGTATCTAAGCAGTTGGTACCCAGTGATTCCTGGCCCACTCCACTGTCCTGCGCACGGGGCAGGCCCCTGGGCGCAGGGCTGAGTCTGGGGCACACCCAGGAAGCATTTCGGCCCTAGCCTGCCGCTCGGTCACAGGCTGGGTAAAGCGTTGTCTTGTCGTCCCAGCACGGCTCTGTGTCCACGCACCATCCAGCTCTACGCAACAGCATCTATGTCCATTTGGGGGTACTGAGGTTTGCAGAAACCCACATCTTCAAGCCTAGAAAGTGCCCAGGGTTAGATTCTCCGGCTGGGAGAATCCCACCTCCCAGGTCACCGCCCATTGTCCCAGCCTCAGTTTCTCCACCTGCTCCCAGGAGAGTCCTAATTCCTCCATCTCCTCAGCAGTCCCAGCAGGGTGTGGACCCCAAGGGAGACAGCTGCACCAGGAGAGGAAACAAAGTGACTTTCCGGGTGCATGTTTAAGCCAGGAACCCCAGTCTGGAGGGAGGAGGGCTGGGCCCAGACACCCCCAGACCCAAGGGGTCAGGCTGCAGCAGGGGGAGGCTTTGGGGCTTCCTGAAGTCACACGGAAGGCTTTCCAGAGATGGGCGCAGGAGCCAGACTGGGCTAGGCAGCACGGCTGCTGGGCAGAGGGCGAGGCAGCAGGTGCTCCCGGGGCAGGGGCCCAGCAGGGTGACTGCAAGCCCAGCAGCTGGGCTCTTCCCAGGATGCTGGGGAGCCGCAGAGGGTGGATGATCTGGACAGGGCTGTGAGCTGGGCGTCAGGGGGACCCTTCAGGCCGACTGGAGGCACCACAGCCAGCCAGCCGCCCCTTGGTCCCCACCCTGGCCCAGTGCCCACCCAGTGCCTTAAGCTGCCCCCAACCCCCCCCACACACCCTTTTCCTGCTTTGGCTGTGGAGGCTAAGAATAGATCCTCCCCGCCTGGCCCCTACCGGAAACCAGCCCCGGGGGGCGCATCCTGAGCCTGGCCTCTGTTCCCACCATCCGGCCTCCTTAGCCTCCCTGGCTGACGGAGCTGGGCGGGGGTGGGGAGGGAGGCCCGTAGGTGGTGGAAGCCAGAGCTGGGTGCAAATCCCACCCACACGTGGCCTTGGATGCCTCATTTCCTCCCTCTGGACCTCAGTTTCCCCTTCTTTTTTTTTTTTTTAAAGATTTTATGTTTTTAAGTTACATCCACAGCTAACGTGGGGCTGGAAGTCACAACCTTGAGGTCGAGAGTTGTGTGCGCTACTGACTGAGCTGGCCAGGCGCCTCTCAGTCTCCCCATCCCCACTGCCTTGCAGAGTTGCGGTGCTGCCCAGACTCCATGCAGGTCGAGTGCCCCTCTCTGATGCCTGCTGTGGCCGTTTCCCAGAAAGGCCACTGTCCTTGTTATCTTGGGCAGAGGAAGTGGGAAGGGAGCAGTGTCCCTCAAGTCCCCCCCACATCTGTAGCCCCAGCTCCACATCCTCTTTCCACCACATCTGCCTTCCTTGCAGTTTCCCAAAGCCTCACGCTCCCTCTCCTCCCCAAAGTTTTAAATGTAATTTCTGCCACAACCGTCTCTCTCTGACCCAGGGGACTCCTATTCATCCTACAAAGCCCCAGTTCTCATACCTTCTTCCCTCAGGATGCCTTCCCGGCTCACCTCTGGGCCGCCCTAAGCCCTGTCACTTCCTCTGGTCCCAGGCTGACTGCAGGGGGCTGGACTCTGTCCAGCTCTGTCTTTCTCCAGCGGGAAGGCATCCTCAAGGGCAGATCTGATGCAGAATTGTCCCACCACATGGACTAGGACACAGAATTGCTCTTGAAGAGGGTTGGGGGTAGCAAGACTGCTTGAGAGAGCACGGCTTTACAAAGGAGGGGGCCTTAGAGCCAGGGCTCTGCCGGATGCATAAGAGTTGGGGAGTCCCCTTACCAAGGAGGAGAAGTTAGGGTTAACCACCAGATCCTCAGCACCTCAGACAATGGGATAGGACAGGGGAGGGGCTGCCTAGAAGGACACAGGGTGTGTGCTAAGGCCCGGAGGAGGCCGGAAGGATGGTAGTGTGGGGAGCCAGAAAAGGGGTATTAGGACACGCAGGGCAGGGGAGGGCAGAAGCACGTCCTCCTCACTCAGAGCCAGACCTCCTATGTCCTTCCCAGGCCCCGAAGGACTGGGTGGGGCAGGGTCAAGGCCAAACCAGCTGGTCCTGGCCCACTGCAGGCCCTAACTTAGGGCCAGTGAGGCCCAGGGTCACCCCTTCACGCCAAAATCCTGCCCTCCACGTGGCTTCAGAGGCTGATCTCAGGCCTGTGGACCCCGTTCGCCCACCTGAGGCCCAACCTCACTTTGCTCCAGCGCAGTGCTGCCTCCGGGGGCTTTTGCTCCAGCCGCGCCCAGCCTGGTCACTCTCTGCTTTTGTGGCTGATGAGACCCCGGCCCAGAGCCCTGGGTCTGGGGGTCTTCAAGAATGCCGGCCCTGCCTGGGAGCCCTTTGCCAAGCCCTGCACCCAGTACCCTGGGCTCACCCTCACTCTCTCCCTGGGCCTGGGCTTCCTTCTCCGTCACAGGGGTTAGGGATGGAGGGGGATGGGGGACCGGCCTCCTCACCCCCCTGCAGGGGGCTCTGTAGGGGCTTGCCTTCTCCAGCTCCACTGCCGTCTCCAAGCCTTTGTCCTCACAGGACCCTCCCCCTGGAATGCCAGATCCTCCACCACCGTCCACAGACGGGACTCCGGGAAAGCCTGTCTCAGCAGGATGCCCACAAAGCTGCTCCCTGAAAGCGTTGGTGCCCCTCCCCTCTAAACAGACCCTGCGTTGATTAGGTGCCTAATTGTGTGCCAGGCCCCAGCCCACCAGGTTCACCAGCTTGGAGCCCTGGGCCCCTTGGGTGAGGGTCTGGGCGCCTAGGGGACTGATTCCGCCCGCGGGCTCTGCCCCGCCCCTGCTGGCCTTGGGTGCTGCCCAGATGGTGAATAATGCGGGGCTGGTCAGCGGGAGCGCAAACAGGGGTCACGGCTCAGGCGGGTCCGGGGCCGAAGGCTCCCAAGTGGGCGCCGGCCACCAGCATCCTTGTCCCTGAGCCCAGGGGGACGCGCCCACCCCTCCCCCAGGCGGCTGCGCGGATTCCCAGGCGGGCTGGGGGGCACCCACTGACCCCCATCAACCAGGCCGGGCCAGAGGGGCGTGGCCAGTGCAGGGGGAGGGGCCCGTAGAGACGGACGGAGAGACAGAGAGACAAGGACAGACAGGGCGCGGGCTGCGGAGCGGAGCCCCCGGCCGGGGCTGTTTTTAGCCCCCGCGGACCCCCTTTCCGGGCCGCGAGGGCTCGTCGCCCCTCCTCCAACCCCGGAGCACCTCGCGCACCCCGGCGTCCAGAGCTGCCGTGCCCTCCGTCTGTTCCCTCTAAGGACGTGGCAGCGCCGGGGTCCTCTGGGCGGCCCGCCCCTGGTCGTGACTCGGTTTCCCCAGGGGCCCGGGAGGCCGGACCACCCCGCTCCCCGCTCCGTCCTCCCGGGCCTGGGCCCGGCGCCCGCCCGCCCACCCGCCCGCGGGGCTCCGTGACAGGGGCGGCCCCAGCGCGTCCCACCGGTCATCGTGTCCAGGTGAGGCTGGGCCCCCAGGTTAGGGGCGGGGCGTGAGAGCGGGCAGGGTGTGTCCAGCGGTGGCCCGCCCTGCTGTGGGTGTGTCCCCCTGGGCCGGTCCAGCGGCCAGGTGCTGCGTGTCCCGGGTGTCGGCGAGAGCGGGTCTGTGTCCGCAGGGGGCGGTTGGGCCCCCCGCTGTCCGCCCCCCGGCCGTCCCAGTGTGGCTGAGGATGTAGTGTGTGTGCATTTCCCTGGCTGGGCGCTGGGCTGCTTAGGTCCTTTGATGTGGCAGGAAGGGTGCAAGGCGCTGGGTGTGGCTGTGAGCAAGTGTGCGCGTGCACTTTGTGTGTGTGTGTGTGTGTGTGTGCGCGCGCACATGCAATGGTGGGTCTCAGCACACATCCGTACGATCTAACTCGCTGTCCATCCATAACCACAGCCAAAGGCCCCGGGGCCTGTCCCTCACCCCACACTCGCCCTCCTGTGCAGCTCCTCTGCCAGCCGAGTGGTGAGCCCTGAGGACACCCATTGTACTGATAAGGAAACAGGGGCTCACAGGGGTCCCCTGAGTCAGGGCCGAGGCGGGGCTCAGACCTAGTTGGGCTGACTGTGGAGGCCCCACTCTGTACCCTCTGAGGTGGAGGCTGGGTCGGTGTCACAAACAGGAAAAGTTCCCGGAAATTAAGCCTTGTGGGCTGGTGAGGGGAGGCAGAGGCAGACCTGGGGACTGACAGGGGCCCTGCCCCTATGTGTGCGTCTCCGCGGGTTTCTGTGGGTCTCCGCCGTGGACCTGCGCCGTGGGCCTGTGAGGCCGCATCAGGCACGGGCTGGCCTGGCCCCTGCAGCTTCGCACCAGAGGGTGGCGGCCGTCACTTGGCTAGCGTTCACAGGACTCGGCAGATGTGCTGGAGGGCCGCTGCGGGGCTGCCCCCCCCGCCCCGCACATGGCCAGCCAGGAGATAAGCCTGGAGCACACCAGGAGCCGGGGGACACTGCAGAGGCAGAAGCTCGGTGGGAGCAGGTCAGGCCTGGGGAGGCCAGCCAGAATGCCAGCAGGCGACTTAGTATCCCCATTTTCTGCATTTCGCAGAGTGGGGGACACGGAGGCTCAGCGGTGTTGGCCCGCAGCTTGGTGGTGGCAGATCAGGGGCTCCAGTCCGAGCTTGTGGGAAGTCAGCATCACCCCTGCGGGGAGTTTGGGTGGGCCTGGAGACAGGTGGCCTCGCAAGCAGGGCATGGAGTGTTGAGTGGGAGACGGACGTGTTGAGAGATGGCTGGCTCCCCAGAGCAGGAGGAGAGCAGGGCCAGTGGTGACCAACAGGCAGAGGAGGGGCCTGGCGCTTGGGAACCAGAGATCACATTCCACAGGGGGCTGGGCTTGGGAGGGCCCAGCCTGTGTCTGTGCCTCTGAGGCAGGATGGAGCCCCCCATGGCCCAGCCTCACCCAGGAGGGCTGACGAGAACTGAGTGTTACACGTCCTCCAGGAAGGAGCCAGGAGCTGAGACCCAGGTTCTGGATCCCAGGACTCAGCCACGTTCCCATCAAAGTTTCTGGAACCTCGGCTCCTTGGAATTCTGGACTCGAGGCCTCCTGGGTTCCAGAACCGGGAGCTCATTGGAATTCCAGAGCCCTGGTCCTTCAAAGCCCAAACCTCCCTGCTCTTGGGCCACGGAAGCCTGGGTTTGTCCAGCAAATCTGGGGTGGGAATCTGGGGTCCGTGCCTCCCATGAGGCACAGCGAGGGAGATGGATGTCCCCCCCACGGGCCACACAGGGCTGATTCTGGACCTCGCGCTATGTTGACAGTCCCCGGCAGGGTGAGGGCCCTGCCATCCCTCCCAGCTAATTTGGGAGGGGATAGGAGGCCTTGCCAGGGGCGCCTACAGGCCTGGCCCGTGTGCCAGGGAACTTGAGACGGCCGCTCTCACCTGAACCTGGGGGTGGGGTGGGGGTGGGACTGGAAACCACGGGGCCGTGGCCAGAGGGAGTCATGCGAGTTTCCAGCCTCCCCTGGGGCCAAGGGCTCTGGGTCACAGGTTTGTTCCCAGACAGGGGAGGCGTGAGGTGGGCTCAGAGTGTGTGGCCCCAGGCGAATAAGAAGTGCATGAGCTCCCACACAGGGTTGGGGCTGTGAGCCCTAGGAGCAGCTGCTGGTCACTCCAGGCCGAGGTCGGGGCAGTGGCCCAGGCACAGCCCAAGTCCCCAGAAAGTTTCAGAAACAGTGCATACCAGCTCTCGAGGGAGAGAGTGCCCAGGCCTAAGAGGAATCCAAATGCAGGCCAAATCTATGACGGCACTGAGCATGCCGCTGCTCTGCCGCGGAGGGTAAGACTGCGGTCACCGTGGACCCCACGCAGCCGCCTGCCTCTCTCTGGGCCCCGTTTTCTCCAGGCCCCACCCCGCCCCAGTGGCGGTGGCCTTGGCTCTCGGCCTGGGAGCAAAGCTCAGTGTGGTTGTCAGGGGCTGGATAATTTATGAGGAGCGGTAAGGAGTCGCTGAGCAGAGGGGCCAGGCCAGGCACCGGTTAGCAAGACGGGGAGCGAGGGCCAGCAAGACGGGGAGCGCCCCCGGAGGGCTAAGCCCTGTACTCAGCTCAGCTCGTTCCCGTCATCCGCGCCACTGTGCAGGACGGGAAACTGGAGCTCGCAGCAGCGTCAGTGAGAGGGTTCGTGGCAAACCCCGGATTCAAATCTGGCCAGACCCGCTTTGTAGAAAATTCTGTCCCTTAGAGAAAATTCCAATGATGGCGACCCTCCACACCCACGGCCCCCATCCTCCCTCTGACTAGCAGGCCTACGAATCATTTACACACGCTTACCCACAAGGCCTGGATTCACATATCAGATCAGCTCACGTCAGGATGTGGGACTTGGACCAGAGACGTAACCCCTCTGGCGCCTCCGTCTTCCCCCTCTGCAAAATGGGGGCCGTAGTAGGAGCTTTCTGAGCTCTGAGTGCCTCTGAGCCACCTGTGTGCTGCCCACGCCCGCCTCCCTGTACCCGGTCTGCCCTCCCCCCGGGGCAGCCTCGCTGGCCACACGGGGAGACCTGCAGTGTGGACGCAGGGCAGGAGGCCAGGCACCCACCAGCTAGGCCCCAGCCCACCCCCTGATGGCCTCTCCGGTGTGTCCTTCTCGGGCACTGGGAGCTGTTCTCTGAATGGTCTCTGCTTTTATTTCTACGTGACATCCCCACAACTGGTCTATCTGTCCACACTCGCAGCAGCTGGGTCCCAGTGTCTCCCCACAGCCCCACAGGGTAACAGGGCTCTCTTGCTGCCATTTATAGCTCGTCCCCGGGGAGTCTGTCGCTCCAAATGAGTTGAGTTTTTTTTGTTGTTGTTCCCAGAATGGAACCAGATTTCTGGGTTTATTTCTCATTATAAAAACAATGCCACGAAAACTGGGGGACAAAAAGAATCCACACGATCCCAACATGGGCAAGGCAGCGTCTTCCAAAAAGGCCGAAGGTGTCGGGGCTCCCGCGTCTATGCGGCGCAGTCGTGACCCGGAGCCTGACCTCAGAGCTGGTGTGAGAGCCCGTGACCTCTGGCCGCCCGCCCGCCGCCCTCCTCACCTTGGACGCATCCCGTCTCCCAGCGGCTGAAATCTGTCCTGGATTCTGCAGTCGGCCAAGGGCTCAGCTGGGTGACAAGTGGGGCCATGGAGCCCAGAGAGAAGAAATCATTTGCCTGGGGTCACGCAGGGGGCGCCAGGACTGTGGTTCCAGCCCAGAGTTTCTTGGTTCTTCTCTGTGACCCAGAAAAGATCCCGGGTATTCTCCAGGGGCCACGGAGCAGACAGCGCAAATCCTCACCCTGGTGGGTCACCGAGTCCGGGGCAGGACAGAGCTGGAGGCAGTAGAAGTAGTAATACTGAGTGCGGAGTGAGATGAGTCAGGACAGGCTTCTTCAAAGAGGGGATATTTGAACTGGGCCGTTGAAGATGGTGTAGGAGTTCGCCAGGCCCACTCCGATGAAAATCACAATGAATTACCAGCAAATCTTCTCTCTGCCCCCCCAGGTGTGCCTGAGCCAGCGCCAGTTCTCCCCACCTGCAGCCCCGGCCCGATGGGGTGGTGACCCTCCCCTCCCCGCTCCGGCGCCATGTGGCCCAACGGCACATCTCTGGGGCCCTGTTTCCGGCCAACCAACATCACGCTGGAAGAGCGGCGCCTGATCGCCTCTCCCTGGTTCGCCGCCTCCTTCTGCCTGGTGGGCCTGGCGTCCAACCTGCTGGCCCTGAGCGTGCTGGCGGGTGCACGGCAGGGCAGTTCACACACCCGGTCCTCCTTCCTCACCTTCCTCTGCGGCCTGGTGCTCACCGACTTCATGGGGCTGCTGGTCACCGGCGTGATCGTGGTGTCCCAGCATGCCATCCTCTTCGACTGGCACGCGGTGGACCCCAGCTGCCGCCTCTGCCAGTTCATGGGCGTCATCATGGTCTTTTTCGGCCTCTGCCCGCTGTTGCTGGGGGCAGCCATGGCCTCGGAGCGCTACCTGGGCATCACCCGGCCTTTCTCGCGCCCCACGGTGGCCTCGCAGCGCCGGGCCTGGGCCACGGTGGGGCTGGTGTGGGCGTCGGCGCTGGCGCTGGGCCTGCTGCCCCTGCTGGGTGTGGGCCGCTACACAGTGCAGTACCCCGGCTCCTGGTGCTTCCTCACTCTCGGCGCCCAGCCCGGGGATGTGGCCTTCGGCCTGCTGTTCACGCTCCTCGGCAGCTTCTCGGTCGGGCTGTCCTTCCTGCTCAACACGATCAGCGTGGCCACTCTCTGCCACGTCTACCACGGGCAGGAAGCCGCCCAGCAGCGCCCGCGGGACTGCGAGGTCGAGATGATGGCTCAGCTCATGGGCATCATGGTGGTGGCCAGCATCTGCTGGATGCCGCTGCTGGTGAGTAGCAGGTGGGGGCTCTGCTCGGGGCTCCTGCCACCCTTCGTGACTGGGCTCCAGCTCATCCACAGTGGGTTTATTTATTTATTTTTAAAGATTTTACTTATTTGAAAGAGAGAGAGCGCAAGCATGAGCAGGGGGAGGGGGAGGGACAGAGGCAGAGGGAGAAGCAGGCTCCCCGCTGAGCAGGGAGCCCGATGCAGGGCTCGATCCCAGGACCCTGAGATCATGACCTGAGCCGAAGGCAGATGCTTAACCGACTGAGCCACCCAGGCGCCCCTCCACAAGGGATTTAAAGCCTCAGGTTCTCATCTACCCAAGAAAACATGGGCACAGACCCCAGTGTTCGAGTGTCCTTCCTTGAGGAGCTTGTGAACAAGACACAGATGACCTCCAAACTGGGGGGCAGGACTGGGATGCCCGGGGAGGGGCTCCAAGGTTCTATGGGGTATCAGAGAAAGTCTTCCAGAGAAGGGGCATTGGGGCTGGGGTTTTGAAGGATACATAGGAGTTTACCTATGAAACAAAACCAAGGAAGGCATTCTAGGTAGTATCACTGAATCATCAAACATTTCCTGAGTCTACTTTGTGCCTAGTTCTAGGCTGAAACCCAGCTCTGCCCAGATTTTCCGAGTCAGGGGAGCTTGGCTGAAGTCCTTCCACTGATCAGTGTAGTTAGCCATTTGGGGTGGCTATTTTTCCATTTCTGATTCGATCAGGACATGTCTGGAGTCTGAAGTCAGACACTCGGTTTCCAGCCCATGTCCAACAAGGACTTTGCTGCATGACTGTCTCTGGGCTTCCCTCCTCCAGCCTTGGTGTCTGATCATGGGGATTAGAAGTCTGCCCTTCTGAGTGATGGTGAACTCATTAATCATCTGCTCCTTCCACAAACATTTCATGAGTGACTCCCTATGTTCCAGGCTCTGGTCTAGACACTGAGGACACAGCAGAGAACAGAAGTGACAGAGATCCTTCCAGGAGCTCTTGCCAGTGGGGAAGGCAGACCATAAACATAGCCATATGGATGTGGAAAGCGGTAGTTAGTAGGAAGTGAAAAGAACTAGAACAAAAACCAAATCTGCAGAGGTGCCAGGTGGGTTCAGTCGGTGGAGCATGCGACTCTTCAACTCGGGGTTATGAGTTCGAGCCCCCCCGATGGGTGTAGAAATGACTTACAAATAAAATCTTAAAAAAAAAAAAAAAAACCTGCAAAAGGAGAGATCCACAAATCTGTTTTTTTGCTTTTGCTCTGGGTTTTTTGTTTTGCTAAGAATTTTTTACAAACGTTAAGTGGTCAGAGAAAAAGTGCAAAGAAGCATCATATTTTGATATTTTGTGACACGTGACAATGACATGGAATTCAGATTTCCGCATCCAGAAATAAAGTCCTGTTAGAACACAGCCACACCCATGTGCTTCCTTGTCGTTTTGAGGCTGCACGGCCCTTGAAGAAAAAGTGTGCCACCAAAGGGGCCCCAAGAGTCATTTCACGATTCAGGGAGATTCTACCTAGGATGCCTTCCTGGGTTTTATCTAGAGGCGAAACTCCTACCCATGCTTCAGAGCCCCAGCTCCAATGGTTCAGAGCAGAGCAGGGCTCATTCCGGGCATCCTAAGAGACTGGGGCAGATCGTCGTCAGGGACTTCTCGGTGAAGATGACATTTGAGCAAAGACACGGTGGAGGTGAGGAAGTGAACTGTGTGTGGAGATCTGGGGTGGAAGCATTCCAGGAAGAGGGCACAGCACATGCAAAGGCCCTGGGGCAGGACCCTGCCTGGCATATTGGAACATCAATGAGAAGGAGCAGAGTGGGTGAGGGAGAGAGAGGGAGGAGGGGAGGGTGGGGAGGGGATAGGTCGTGCAGGGCCTAGGGGACCGCAGGGAGGATGTGGGCTTTTCCACCCGGGAGGTGGGAGCCCTGGAGGATTGTGGGCAGAGGAGGGTGGGACCTGACTCAGGTGCTGCCCAATAAATATTAAGGGTAATAATAATAGTAAGCCAATATGTAAATACCCTCAGATCCATGAGAACAGGCCAAGGACGGGACAAGAGCACATTTGCTAGCCAGAAGCAGCGTTCTGTGGCTGCGGCCCCACGGGGACCCATCGGTGCCAGCAGCTGGGACCCACCCCAGGCACCGACTCCTTGCCGGCTCTCTGCTCCCCTCCCCCAGAGATGCGCACGCCTGTCACCTCACAAAGACCCTGACCTCCAGCAGACTCATCCACGCTGCTGCGCCTCGCCTTCCTCCCTGACCCCCCACCCCCGGACGCCCAGAATGGGCTCTGTCCTTCTATGAACCATTAGAGCTGGGGCTCTGAAGCATGAATAGGAGTTTACTCACTAGGCATAAGGGAGAAGGCGTCCCTTCCCTTAGGTAGAAACGTTGAATCATTAAAAAAACAGTCCCCTTTGTGGGCAAGCTTGTCCATAAAGGGCCACATGGTAAATATTTTAAACGTGGCCTCTGTCACAGACACTCTGCTCTGCTGTCCCATCAGGGTGGGAAAGCAGCCACCGGACACAAATGGGCGTGGCTGTGTGTCCGTAGGACTCCGTGTGTGGACACTGGGATTTGAATCCCGTGTCATTTTCACCTGTCACAAATGCCCCCCTTCCTAGTTTTTCTCCCACTATTGGCACCGGTAAAAAACATTCTTAACAAAACAATAATGCCAAACGAAAAAACAAAGCAAACGAAACAGAAAGAGGTGGAAGGCCAGATTTGTCCCACAGCCAGCCCCTGCCCTAAAGCCTCCCCTGGCTCCCCATTGCCCCAGAAGTTAGGCCCACAGACACTGCCTTCAAACTCGCCTGGGGAACCCCTGTGTGCCAAGCGGCTTCTGCCCCCAGGTCAGCTCCGGCGCCCACTCTACCTCCCACGGGGCCTGCCTCGCTCCCCCCGTCATGGCTCTGTCACCCCCACCGCCACACTGGGACTGCCTCGCCACCATGCTGACGGGGCTGCAAGCCTGTGCCAGAAAGACCTGGTCTGTTGTGGCTGGTGCAGTGTCCCCAGCTTTGCCCAGCACGCAGTAGGTGCTCAGGAAACAGTAATATAATTTTTTTAAGATCTTTTTTTTTTAAGATTTTATTTATTTATTTGACACAGAGAGAGAAAGAGAGCACAAGCAGGGGGCGCAGCAGGCAGAGGGAGAAGCAGGCTCTTCGCTGAGCAGGGAGCCCGATGCGGAGCTCGATCCCAGGACTCTGGGATCATGACCTGAGCCAAAGGCAGACACTTAACCGACTGAGCCACCCAGGCGCCCCTAAAAAGATCTTATTTTTAAGCAATCTCTACGCCCAACGTGGGGTTTGAACTCACAACCCCAAGATCAAGAATTGCACAGTCCACCGATTGAGCCAGCAGGGGCCCCAACATGAATATTTCACCATAATCATTTATTTTAATATAATACTTTAACACAATATGAATTATAATTATACTTGACAATATAAATTTTTAATTATAGTTATAAAATATGCACTATAACTATCACATTCTTATTGTATTATAATTTATATTTAATTATATAAATTATACAGTTATAGTTATAATGGTAATATTATATAATTTTAAATACTATATAAAATATAACTCCAATATATTACGATAATGATAATTAACAATATATTATTAGATAATTAATTTCTTACGTATTTGTAAATCACATGACATATGCCGTACTAAACATACATTTCAATAGTAATAAAAATATTTAAATAATTCAGTATACAAATGTAATACAGAATTTTTTAATATAAAACCGTGTCATAAAATTATATAAAATATAAGTTTTAATATAATATAAAATTATTTAAAATAAAACATATAGGGCGCCTGGGTGGCTCAGTTGGTTGGCCATCTGCTTTCAGCTCAGGTCATGATCCTGGGGTCCTGGGATTGAGTCCCGCATCGGGCTTCCTGCTCCGAGGGGACCCTGTCTCTCCCTCTGCCTCTCTCTCTCATGAAAAAATAAATAAAATCTTTTTTAAAAAATAAATAAAATAAAACATAGAATATAAAAATTAAATATTCAGTGTGCAATTGAATAGTACAGTTTTATATCATAAAATGTTTAGAAATGGTAACATGTTTAAGAGGATAATAACGTGGGCAGTCAGTGACTCACCTGCCCACACCTGCGAGTCTTCTTTCCCACCGTGTTTACTTGCCCCCGGGACATGGGCAGGAAAAGTGCGCTCTTTTCCAGCCATATCAACTGAAGCTCAGAGAGGTTGGGCAGCCCTCCCCAGGTCACACAGCAAGGCAGTGAGAGAAGTCCCCCCGATCTCGGCAGCGGGGGGGGGGGGTGTCGCAGGGGCTGCGGGGCCCCAGCTAACTGCTCTGACCCCCCGGCAGGTCTTCATCGCTCAAACAGTGCTGCGCAGCCCTCCCGCCATGAGCCCCACCGGGCAGCTGTCCCGAGCCACTGAGCAGCAGCTGCTCATTTACCTGCGCGTGGCCACCTGGAACCAGATCCTCGACCCCTGGGTGTACATCCTGTTCCGCCGGGCCGTGATCCGGCGCCTCCACCCTCGCCTCAGCACCCGGCCCAGGTCGCTGTCCCTGCAGCCGCAGCTCACCCAGAGAGGCACGGTGCAGTAGAGCCTGAGGGGGCAGCCGCGCGGAAACCCCCCCAGCCAGCGCGTCCCTCCTGAGATCTCCCTCCTCCCTGACGGTCACAGCTGCCTGTTCTGGGGTTCCAGGAGCTGGGAGTATCAGAAGGACCAAGCCTTTGAATAGCAGGATCGTGGGCTGTCCTCCATCAGCGCTGGGGACTCCCCAACTCTTCCCCATCCCCCTCCCCGCCCCAGGAAGGGTGGGCAGGCATGTTAGGGGGGGTGTGAGGAAACGAGACTTGCAAGCCTCCCCTTCCAGAAATCCTCCGGGAATGGGGGACTCCGAACCCTGACTTTGGCCTGCTTCCTGGGGTACAGTTGATCCCCCTGGATACCCCAACCCGAGAAGGCTCTGCTTAGGAAATACTGAATGTGCACAGGCGACACACCCCCTCTCTTGCCAAAATATATCTTGGCCCCCCAGCCTTACTTTCCTTTGAGTCTGGAAGTCATCAATCTTTAAAGTTGGCGCATCAGATCGCTGTTCCTCCGCGTGCCCACGGCCGGCAGCCGGAGCAGAGCTGGGGGGTGGGTGGGTGGGGGGGCGGGGCAGAGGGGGGGACCTGTTTTGTTTTTTTTTTTAAGATTTTATTTATTTATTTGACAGAGAGAGACACAGCGAAAGCAGGAACACGAGCAGGGGGAGTGGGAGAGGGAGAAGCAGGCTTCCCGCTGAGCAGGGAGCCCGATGTGGGGCTCGATCCCAGGACCCCAGGATCATGACCTGGGCCGAAGGCCCAATGACTCAGCCCAATGACTGAGCCACCCAGGCGCCCCTGGGGGTACCTGTTTTTTTCACTCAACACTTCAGACTCCCAGCACCTTGAACAAACAGCACCTGGCCCACAGTAGGTGCTCAATAAACATCAGTTGAAGGGACAGGTGATTGAGCCTTTGCAGAGCGCCCGTAACACTTAGTAAAGGGCTTGGCACACAGCAGCCGCTTAGGAAGCATCAGTGTGGTCATGTGTGCCCCCTAAACCCTCATGCCTGCCCCTTCCTCTGCCTTCCCACGAACTCCCCCAGAAATGACACACCCAGCTGCAGGGAGAGGTGCCTTTATTCCCCATGAGCCCTCAAGGTACATGGGGACAAGATTGCCTCCTGCCCCCCATTTCTCCACCTCGTGCCCACATGCCCCCCCGACACACACACCCAGCTTTCCACTCCACAGACCTAGGATCTGCTTACACCTCCCAGAGCCAGGCCCAAGTGAAAATAAAGCCCCTGTTTCCACTCTCCCTACTCTCCCCACCCCTATCTGCTGGGGGAATGAGGTCACCTGCTGCTTCCAGGGGACCCAGGCTGGGAGGGGCCAGAGACAGGATGGGGGGATCATGGAAGCCAAAACTGTGTCACCCTCAAGCTACAGCTCCCCTTGGTAGGGGAGGGGCTCTGACCCCCAAGGAGCAGGCCCTGACTCCTTGAGCGTGTGGGAGGGAACAGACCTCTGGGCTAGGGATTCAGGGGTCTGGGAATGCAGGAGGGCCACCCTGGGTGCAGAACTAGAGATGACAGATATGGTGGGTGGGGTGGACTTCTGGGGTCCTAGCTGGGGCTTGGGGAAGAGGACTGGTTTCTGAGGGGCTGACGGGGTCTGTGGCTGTGGGGCCAGGTGGGAAGTTGGTGAGCTTCGGCCCAGGACAATGTTGGCCTGCGTTCCATGTACCAGATCATGGGGCTGGGGCTGTGGCTGAGAGACTGTGCTAGGGGCCAGAGTCGGGGCTCTGCGTGGTGGGCCTAGGGGCTGATGTTGGGCTGGGGGAGTGAGATCAGCCTCGGTTCTAGGGTCAAGGCGAGGGATCTGTAGGTGAAGCCCATTTCTAGAGCTGAGCTGGATCTTTGAGCTGGTCTGGGTTCTGGAGCTGGACTGGGTTCCAGAAACAGGTTGGGTTCTGGAACTAAGGTAAGTTCCAGAGCTGGGCTGAGTTCTTGAACTGCTCTGGGTTCCAGACTTGGGCTGGGTCTCAGGGCTGAGCTGAATCCTAGAGCTGGGCTGGGTTCTGGAGCTGAGCTGCGCTCCAGAGCTGGGCTGAATTCTTGCACTGGGCTGGGTCTCTGAGGCGGGCTGGGCTCCAGAGCTGAGCTCCATTCCAGAACTGATCAGGGTTCTGGAGCTGGGTTGGGTTTCAGAGCTGAGCTGCATCTCAGAGCTGAGGCAGGTCTCAGAAGTAAACTGGGTTCTCGAGCTAAGCGGGGCTCCAGAGGTGGTTTGAATTCTTACACTGCTCTGGGTCCCAGAGCTGGGCGGGGTCTTGGAGCTGAGCTGGGTTCCAGAACTAGTCTGGGTTCTGGAGCTGGGTTGAGTTCCAGAAAGAGGCTGGATTCTAGAGCTGAGGTGAGTTCCAGAGCTGGGCTGCATTCTTGAACTGGGCTGGCTTCCAGAGATGGGCTGTGTCTCAGAGCTGAACTGAATCCTGCGACTGAGCTGGGTCTCAGAGTTGAGCCGGGTCTCAGGGCTAGACCGAGTTCTGGAGCTAAGCTGGGCTCCGGAGCTGGGTTGAATTCTTACACTGCTCTGGGTCCCAGAGCTGGGCTGGGTCTTGGAGCTGAGCTGGGTTCCAGAACTGGTCTGGGTTCTAGAGCTTGACTGGGTTCCAGAAACAGGCTGGGTTCTGGAACTAAGGTAAGTTTCAGAGCTGGGCTGAGTTCTTGAACTGCTCTGGGTTCCAGGCTTGGGCTGGGTCCCAGGGCTGAGCTGAATCCTGGAGGTGGGCTGAATTCTTGCACTGGGCTCAGTCTCTGAGGTGGGCTGGGTCTCAGGTCTGAGTTGCGTTCCAGAACTGATCAGGGTTCTAGAGCCAGGTTGGGTTTCAGAAACAGGCTGGGTTCTGGAATCACTCTGGGTTTCCAAGTTCGGCTGTGTCTCAGGGCTGGAGTGAATCGTGGAGTTGGGCTGGGTTCCAGAGATGGAGTGAATTCTCGGACTTATCTGGGCTCCAGAGCTTGGCTGAGTTCCAGAGCTGGTCTGCTTCCCAAAGTCCGGCTCAATACCAGAGCTGCCTTGGGCTGTGGCCTGGAGCTGGTATCTAGAACTTGGTAGGGTTTCCGAGATGAGCTGAGTCCCAGAAGTTGACTGAGCTCCTGGACAAGTCTGGGTTCTGGAGCTCGGCCTACTTTCAGAGCTAGACAGATTTGTGGAGATTACATCTGTTGCTGCATTGGTCTGGGTCCCAAGGCTAGACCGGATTCCAGAGTTTAGCTGGATTCTGGAACTCAGTGGGGTCTCAGCAACTGACTGTGTTTGGGAGCTGGAAGGGATTTCAGACCCAGTCTGTGCTTCAGAATTGAGCTGAGTTCTGCAGCTGGGTGGAGCGCCTGAGCTGGACCGAGCTCTGGAAATTGCCCAGGTCTTAAAATTGTTCTGGGTCCCAGAGTTAGATGGCATTCTAGAGCTGGTCTGCGTTCTGCAGTGAGAGCGGGGCTCGACGTCAGGCTGAGCTCTGGAGGCAGGCCTTGCCTCAGAAATGGATGGGGTTCCAGAGCTTGTCTGAATTCTGGAGATGGGCCTGGTTATAGCACTAGGGTGGGGTCTAGAACTGGACTCCGTCTCTGAGCTGGACTCATCACTGGAACCGGACCAGGCGCCAGGATGGGGGTGGGTACTTGAGTGCAGTTGGGTTTTAGAGCAGGGCTGGGATCTGGGTCTGGACTGAGCTGCAGCATGCATCTGGGCTCGTGAGCAGGGTTGGGTTTGGGAGCCCTCTTCCAGTCCTGAACTGGTGTGGCTACTGTTGCTGGACTGTTTCTGGAGTCTGAACTGGGCTCCAGAATTAATGGGAGTTCCTGAGCTAGACCGGGTGTCTAGGTACGGCTGAGTCATGGGGTTGTCTTGAGTTCCAGCATCAGACTGAGTTTTATGGAAGGACTTGGTCATAGATCTGGGCTGGCTTCCAGAACTGGGATTGATCTCAGAGCTAGGCTGTGTCTTAAAACTTATCTGGGATTCTGACCTTAACTTGATTTTGGAGCTTGGTTTAGCTTCAGAGCTGTCTTGGGTTCTAGGAAAGGGCTGGGTTTTGGAGCTGGGTTGGGTCTCAGAACTAAATTGCATTCTAGCAATGAACTTTGTCTCAGGGTTGGCCTGGGGTCTAGAACAGGGCTTGGTCTCAGAGCTAGGCTTAGTCTCAGAACGGAGCTTGGTTCTAGAGCAAGACTTGACCTCAGAGCTGGGCTTGATCTCAGAACTGGTAGGGGTTCTAAAGGTGAACTTGGTCTCAGGGCTGGCCTGGGCTCTGGAGCGGGGCTGAGTCTTTGAGCTGGGTTGGGTCTCAGAAGTGAATTGGGTTCCAGAGATGAACTCAGCCTCAGAGCTGGCCTGGAGTCTAGAGTAGGGCTCGGCCTCAGAGCTGGGATTGGTCTTCAAATTGGTAGGGGTTCTAGAGGTAAACTCGGTCCCAGAGCTGGCCTGGGCTCTAGAGCGAGGCTGGGTCTCAGATCTGGGCTGGGCTCTGGTGCAGAGGTGGGCTTCGGGAACTGGCCAAGAGGGCTGGGGCAGGGGGCTAGGCTCTGGGCTGGGGCTGCGCTCGGCCCCAGGGCAGACTAGCCACAGGCCTCCCTGGCCTCGCCTATGGCGGCCCACACCTCCACCACAAACTCGTCCGGGAAGGCGAACTCGCCCAAGACGGAATCTAAACGGTGTGCAAACTCCTGGACGCTCAGCGTCTTCTTGGAGGTGTCCACCATGGTGGATGCTGCAGGCCAAGCAGGAGGGAAGGCTGGTGAGGGTGCTCCTTGGGCCTCAACTTCCCCCTGGGGCCTCTGACTCCTCCCTGTGGGCTGTCCTCCCCCCAGGGTCCACCTGGCTTACCCTGGCCCCTTACCCAGCTCTGGGTCCCGAATGCCCATGTAACTCTCCAGCAGGTCATCCACCCTCCGTGATGCCTCCTCCTCAAATTCGCTGGGCTGGGGGGTGGGGAACAGCAGAGGGTCAGAATCCTGGGATCCCTCCAGCCCAGCCCCTCCACAGGCCCCGCCCCTGCGGCGAGAGCAGAGCAGGGAGTCAGCACTCTGTGCCAGCACTCCCGTCCTGCCTTGCATCGAGGACCCATTTTGCAGGTAGGGGAGCAGGCTGGATGAAGGAGAGTGTCTTACCCAAGGTCCCACTGAGTCAGCTGAATGCTTGGTACAAGAGCCCCTGAAGACTCCCTTCCCCTTCACTCACCACTTCCTCCAGTGACGCAGCCCCCCCGGAACGAAGACGCAGGGTCTCCCTCCCACTGGTCACTTTCGCTTCCATGGGGCATTTGCTGCCCCTGCTCCTCTGGCCGATCATATCTGGAGGGGACAGAGCAGGGGAGGGGCATGTGTTCTGGGCGGATCCACATCTGTGTAAGCCTGAGGTTACCAGCTGAGCCTTTCTAGAACCTTCTTATCCTTCAAAACCCCCTTATGTCGATGGGTGAATCTTCAGAGACCCAGCTTGAGAATCCCCCCAAATCACCCTCCTCTTTTTATTTATTTTTATTTTTTAATGTTTTTTAAATAATCTCTACTCCCAGCATGGGGCTCGAATTCACGACCATGAAATCAAGAGTCATGTGCTCCCCTGGCTGAGCGGACCAGACGCCCCTGTCCCTCCTGTGTTGTTTTTTTTTTTTTTTTTGAAGATTTTATTTATTTATTTGACAGGGAGACACAGCGAGAGAGGGACACAAGCAGGGGGAGCGGGAGAGGGAGAAGCAGGCTTCCCGCCAGGCAGGGAGCCCGATGCGGGGCTCAATCCCAGGACCCTGGGATCATGACCTGAGCCGAAGGCAGACGCTTAAAAGACTGAGCCGGCCAGACACCCCTGTCCCTCCTGTTTTTAAAATGACTCTGTCTAGAAGGGACTGCTTGTGATCCTCCTGTAGCCAGAGGGTCAATCTAGAAAAGACTTTGTCTAGAATTCAGTCCTACGGGGGCTGTCCTCCCCCGTTGCTCTGCTAACGGGCAGATCTGGAACCCCACCCTGTCCCATTCTCCCTGGGACCTCCCTCCAGACGTGCCCGGGAGTTTCTAGAACCTCTTGCTGGAGAACAGCGCTACTCAAAGGGCCAGTCCATAATTAAATAAGAGGGTGGTGCTGGAATGGAAAGCGACAGGCTGGTTCCTTCTTTGAGAAAGTCTTGCTGTAAAAAAACTACCTGCTGCTAAACAGGATGGTCTACATTCTAACGCAGAAGTTCTCAACCCCAGGGCAGGGGCGAGTGATTTTGCCCCCAGGTGACATTGATGATATCTGGAGACAGTTTGGTTGTTACGACCTGACAGTTGCCATTGGCATCTGCTGGGTCAAAGCCAGGGGCGCTGTTCAGCATCCTATGGTGCACAGGATGGTCCCCATTGCAGAGATGAGCTGGCCCAGATATCACTACTGCTGAGGTGGAGAAACCATCTTCGAGAGCAAGTCCCTTGTCTCATGCATGGACAGGTCACAGACTTCTCTTTGAAAAGCACCATTCTAGGGGCGCCTGGGTGGCTCAGGCAGTGAAGCGTCTGCCTTGGGCTCATGTCATGATCTCAGGGTCCTAGGATCAAGCCCCGCATCGGGCTCCCTGCCCAGCGGGGAGTCTGCTTCTCCCTCTGCCACTCCCCACCCCTCATTCTCTCTCTCTCTCAAATAAATAAAATGTTTTTTTTTAAAGCACCATTCTAGAACTCACTTGGGAAAACATTCTCTAAAATCATAGCCTAAAAGCAGGACTTTAAAAGCTCCTAGCCAGGTTACAAAATAGGTCCAGACACCGCCTCATCCTATCCTCAGCTTTCCAAACTCCCCTGCCCCCATCCCTGGACTGACTCTAACAATCTAGAAACTACCTACCCATTCCTGATACAGTGCCAGAAGCCCCCCTGTCATGTCACCAGAGGCATCTAGAACCTTCCATCCTGTCCCATCCCCCCACCCCCGCTCCCATCCTCCACTGTCTTCACTGGGCATCCAGAGAACCTGCTTCTGGAAGAGCTCCTCACCACCACCCCACTTGCCCCCTGGACCCCAGGTGGCCCTCACCGAAGGCTCTCTTGGGCTGCACCAGGCGCAGGGTGAAGGGCTGGGACTTGGGCAGCTCCCGGAGCATCTTGGCTACCTCGTAGTGGCGGCAGCCCACGATGGAGTGGTCGTTGATGGCCTCAATGCTGTCGCCCACGCACACAGCCTGGATCCGGTTGATGATGCTGCCCTCCTTGATCCTCTGCAGGGACCCAGAGTCACTCACGAGGCCACCCCAGACACCCTCCTCAGCTTCCCAGAGCCCAGGTTAACCAGAGAGGGGCAGTGGCTCATCCCAGGTCCCCGAGCACGCACGCAGGTAGTCACCCGCCCTCCGGGGGCACCTTGATGAAGGCGTAGCCGGCCCCATTGTCCGTGATGGTCAGTCCCAGGGCATCTTCGGTCTTAGTGACCTCCACCTCCTTGGTCTCGCCGCGCACGTGGGCAAAGATAAAGTCCTCCAACCCTATCTGGCCGCCCAGGAGTTTCTGCATGTCCACTTTGTGGCTGTTTAGGGTACAGAATAAGATCTGTCCCAAGGGGAGGGGGAGTGCAGAATTAATGACAGCGCTCATCGCCCTCTGTCTGTGCAGAACAACCAGGGTGATGGGTTCAGGAGCCTGAGAGGGAAACCGAGGCACAAGGAGGCATGAAACTGGCCTGGTTACCCAGCCACCAGGATCCCAGTCCACCGGAAAAGGCGGGGCGTGGGACCCTCAGAATGGGGTGGGGGTACAAGAAGGAGTCTGAGACCCTCAGGATGGGGAGCAGGGTAATAAGGGGGCTGTGGGCAGGAAGAGACCCCTCCCTCACCCCTAAGACTTTCAGTTTTAACCCGTTGGTGCCCTGACATCCCAGAGCAACTTTTTCAGTCGATTCTGAATCTGCTGGCGCCCCCTGGGGGCTATGAGTCGTACAGCCCAGCAGTCCAGGCCCTGACCTCCCCCGGCATCCGACTTCGCACCTGGAAGGGGGCTGCCTGGAACCCCAGCCCCCAACCGCGCCCAGGAACCACAGAGGCGCTTACCCGAGAGCTGGGATCCACTGTTAGCTGGTTCAGCGCAGTGGGTTCCCGGACAATCTAAGGATCCCCTCACCCTAACTCGGGCTCCCCTTTTGCGCAGGGCGTGCGAAGAGGTTCTCTGGGGTATGGGCACCCCAGGATCTGAGAGGTGTGTCTCTGAGATCTGGTGATCGGATCCCCTCCATCCGAGGAGGGGGGGATCCGGGGCCCCCAGTCCCGGGTTCCAGGCTCCACCCCTAACCCGGGTCAGATGGGTGGGCCTCTGGCGCCGGGAGGGGTGGAGCGGGGGTTCGGGGGTCCTCACCTCTGTGGGCGCGATCCCGAAGGCCTCGGCGATCTTGGCGTAGAGCTCGCGGACGTTGGTGAAGCCCTCGATCTTGCCCGTAGGGCTGCCGTGCGCCAGCTGCGTGCGAAAGACCAGGCGCGGACGGGCGCGGGGCGCGGCTGGGGGCTCCGCGGGCGAGGGCGGGGGCGCGGACGGGCGCGGGGCCTCGGCACCCCGGGTCTCTTGGGCCGCGGCGCTCTCCATGGCCGGAGAGGAGCTGGGCCACCCCGGCCACCGCCACCGCCGTCGCCGCCGGATCCGCCGCTTCCTGCAGCCTCCCCTCCCCCGGCCCAGGGCGCGACAGCCGAGCCGCTGGGGTAAGGGGATCCGGGAACCCGAGCCGCCCGGGAAGGCGACACCGCGGGCTGCGGAGGGGGGTCCGGTCCCAGGTGTCCAGGCCCTGCCAGGGCCAGCTGCGCGCTCCTGGGGGACCCCGGGCAGGCCTCCGGGGGCCTGAGCTGCCGACTGGGGAAAAACAGGGATCACCAATGAGGACATAAACAGCTGAGCGTGAGGAGCGCTCACTGTCTGCTAGGCGCGCTCATTTAATCCTTGCAACAACCCTAGAAGGGGGCAGGACACGTACCCTGGGATAACCCAGCCATACCCTGTCCCTTCTTTGACACATCCTTCCAGTGCTCAGTCCTCCCCGGGGAGGTAAAAGCCCAAGTCCTCCCCGAGGCCCATCAGGCTTCCCTGAGGCCCACCAGGCCCTGCACGACCTGCCCGGTCCCCCCTGCCCCCTCCCCTCCTCCCCATCTCCCCCTCGCTCCTGCTACTCCTGCCATACTGGCCTCTTTGCCTTTTCTCTAATGCCAGGCTGGGTCCTGCCCCAGGGCCTTTGCACATGCTGTTCTTTCCGCCTGAACGCCATCTTCCAGTCATCCACCTGGTTCCCTCCCTCACCTCCCTCAGCTCCTTGCTCAAATGTTGCCTCCTCCTTCCACCTCTCTATCTCTTTTCCCAGATTTTTCTCCCTGGTGTCAAGCACTACCTGGTAGATCAGCTGTTTACTTCCTTGTCTTATATCCTGGCTGTCCCCACCACTAGAATGTCAGCTGCAGGAGGGCAGGGGCTCTGGTCTGTTTTCCCCCTGCCGTATCCCGGTGCCCCAGGCCTGGCAGACAGCAGGCACTCAGGCAATCTTTGGTGAGGAAATGAATGGACCCCCAGGTTACAGATGAAGAAGAAGGGAAGGAGGCTGTGGGCACCAGGAAGCATCTGTAAGAATCCCCTGGGACCACAGCACAGAGGCATCCAACAACAAGAATTTCGGCTCTTATAATACGGCAATGGAATGCCACATAGTGGTGCAAAAGAGGGGCCTCCGCCTTGGGAGAATCTCAGAAACCAAGCCTTAATGGAAAAAGGCAAGTTGCAGAAAGCTTTGGACACTGTAAGAAAATGTTGTGTCAAGTTTAATATTTTTTTTTAAGATTTATTTATTTATTTTGAGAGAGTGAGAATGAGAGAGAGAGAGAGAGAGAGCACATGAGAGGAGGGAGGGCCAGAGGGGGAAGCAGACTCCCCACTGAGCAGGGAGCCCGATGCGGGACTCGATCCCGGGACTCCAGGATCACGACCTGAGCCGAAGGCAGTGGCTTAACCAACTGAGCCACCCAGGCGCCCTGTTGTGTCAAGTTTAAAAGCCCGCAAAACATGACACATATTATGACACGGATGAGCCTTGAACACACGACACTCAGGGAGGGAACCAGACACAGAAGGCCACACGGGGTGTGATTCCATGTGCGTGACACGTCCAGAACAGGCTCATCCACGGACGGGAAGTGGGTTTGTTTCTGTCAGGGGCTGAAGGAGGTGGGAGGGGCAGTGACTGCTAAGGGGTACAAGGCTTCTCTTTGGGGTGACGGAAATGTTCTGGAATTAGATTGTGCTGATGGTTGCACAAGTTTGTAAATATACTAGAAACCACAGAACTGTACACTTTAAAAACCCTTAAGAACTGAACAAGAAAACCAAACCCTGTCAAAACGGTACTCTTCTAGTTAGACATACGTGCTAAAGTAGATAAAGACTCACCTGATACACTCCAAATTTGGGATGGGGGTACCTGTGCTGGGGCAGGGAGACAAGGGACCTGGGGTGGGGAGGTGACAGGATCTGGTTGTGTTTGTCTCCCGGGGCAGCCATAACAAAGCCCCACAAGCCGGGGGGCGTAAAACAACAGGGATTTACTCTCTCTCTGTTCGGGGGGCCCAAAGTATGACGTCAGCTTGTCAGCAAGATGCCGCTCCCTCCAAGACCTCAGTCGAGCCCCTCCCTGCCTGTCCTAGCTTCCGGTGGTGGCTGGCACTCCTCTGTGCTTTCTGGCCGCTTGCACTGTTCCCATTTCTGCCTCCGTGGTCACATGGCTGTCTCCTCTGTGTCTGAATCTTCATCTTCTTATAAGGACACCAGTCATATTGGATCAGGGGCCCACCCTACTCTGGGATGACCTCATCCTAACTAATTATATCTGCAATGACCCTATTTCCAAATAAGGTCACATTCTGAGGACTGGGGTTTAGGGCTTCAGCGTATCTTTTGAGGGGACATGATTCAACTCGATACAGGCATTTGTCCAATTATTCTCCCCAAATTTTAAGATGTCTTAAATATTGCATTACACACAAAGTCTCAGAGAGGATTCCTCAGTAAGGCAAGCGCAGAATCCCCCTAGGACCACCAATTCCATTCCTGGGAGATAGCTTGCAGAAGTGAAAGCAGGTGTTCAAACACCTGTACACACATTATACACAGCAGGACTCACAGGAGCCGAAAGGTGTAAACGACCGAAATGTCCATCAACGGGTGAAGGGATAAACAAAATGTGGTCCGTCCACATATTGGAATATTATTTGGTCACGAAAAAGAGGGAGGGGCCCACACGCGCTGCCCCGGGGACAGACCCCGAGCCCACGACGCTCAGGGAGGGAACCAGACACAGAAGGCCACACGGGGTATGAGTCCACATGGGTGACACGTCCAGAACGGGCTCATCCACGGACAGGAAGAGGGCTCGTGGGGCCGGGACCTGGGGGAGGGCAGGCCTGGGACACCCAGCAGGGGCATCTTGGGAGCCCTGGGCACATCTTCTAGCCCACCTCCCACCCCACCCCCCCAAAAAAAACATTCACAAGCTTGGAAATTCAAATTCCACTTTTTTTACTTAAAAAGTCCAGATTGAGCAAAGGTAGAGGCTGCCTCCGCAAGGGTCCCTCATCTGGATGAGGGAAGGGTGGGTCAGTACCAGCCCCCCCAATTCTGGGGTGCAGGAATCTGAGGGCCACAAGTAGAGGGTCCCACCCGGAGTATGAGAGCATGTCCCTGCAGCGTGCCTGCCTGGGGTGGGGGTGGGGTGTCACCTGTGGTGAGCACCTGCTGGGGGTCCCAGCGGGTCGGGTGTGGGGTTTTCTACCTTGTCCCTGGGCTGGGCCTCGAGATCCGGTGTAGCAGGTACAACCCTCCCCACCCTGGGCGTGCCAGTGGCTGTGGGTCCCCTTGTGTCCTGGGTTCCGCAGCCCCTGTGCTGCTCCCATGTCCCTGTAGTGTGATGTGCAAGGGGAGCGGGCCTTGCTGGGCCTTGGGGCTCTGGGTTCTAGGCGTGTCATGTACAGCAGGTGATTTTTCTGGGTTCAGGGTGCTGGGGGAATTGAAAGATAGAGGGATGCTGTAGCAATTTAATTTTAGGGGGGCTGGAGCCCCCAAGGTGCAGGATTGGGCATGGCCCCAAAAGGTGGACCCCCAATCCTCCTCCATGGGGTGGAGAAGGGGCCATGACCAAAGCTTGGTCTTCTCTGGATCCGTGGGGCGGCGGACACCCTCATAGGTGCTCACTGTGACAGGAGAGAAGGGGGGGACTCGTGATGGGGAACCCCCATCATTTATCAGCCCTGACCCCCAGGATGGGGGTCACCAACCCTCAGTTCTTCCAAACAGATGCCACGGTGGGGGCCAGGAGTCCATCCCACCTAACCAGGACAGCTGGAAGCCACCCAGGAAAACCCATGAGCAGCTGCGGGGAAGTTCTAGTCCCCCCAGTGGATCCCACCGGCATATCCCGCCCAGCAGCATTCATAAAGTCCCCGATCTGATTGGCGCCCCCCAGCGATCCGGCCACTGGTCGCCTGCATCAAATAAGCCCCACCTGGTAGATCCCGTGTGGGCGGTGGCCTCGGAGTAAGATCCCGCAGCCGGATCCCACCCGGCAGCGCCCAGACTCTGGGACCCCCGTCGGAGGCCGAAATCCACTCATTTCCGCGGGGCCCAAGGCAGGTCTAGCCCCAGGCAGCCCCCCAACGCCCGCCCAGGGAGGCCCCATCCGGGCCGAGCAGAGCCCGGGGGCGACCCGCCCCGGCACACACCTGGCGACCTGGGCCAGGATCTCCTTGATGCGGACGATGAGCTTCTCGTGCTGGGCGGGGTCACGCTCGATGGCGCCGTGCAGCCGAGCCATGTAGAAGTCCAGGGTGCCGAGAGTGGGCGTCTCGCCCGTGCCTGGAGAGGACAGGGACCGGTCACCGGAGCCCAGCGGGGGAGTCGACGCAGCCGGGGCCCCACAGGAGCAGAGGTAAGAGGGCGGGGGGGGTCTTCAAGGGCAGGGTCCCGGGGAGGGGGCCAGAGGCGCGGCGCGTCGGTGGGGTCGGGTGGGGGATCAGGACGTCTAGACCCGGAAAAGTCAAGGTCAGCTGTGGGCGGGGGGCATTAGACGGAAAGTGTTGAGGGCGAGGCCGTGGGCGGGGGGGGCGGTTTACAAATTGGGGAGGAGTAAGTAGCCAAGGTCAGCTGAGGCCAGAGCGCAAAAGGCCAGGGGGGGGGGGGGGTCACGGGCAGGGCCGGCGCGGGCAGGGGTCAGCGAGGGCGGGCGCGTGCCCTGCTCACGATGGGGAGGAGTCATTCGGAGCAGGAGTCGCACGGCCGGGGGCGGGGCTCAAGGCGGTAGGGGTCCAGGCTCGAAGCAGCTGGGGGCGGGGCCAGGAGGTGGAGCCGGCGGGGCGGAGCTCGCCAGAGACAGGGTGGGGGGCGGGGCCTCCGTACCCGGCACCGGTAGCGAGGCGAAGCTGGCGGTGAGCGCCTGGCGCACGGCCTGGAGCTGTTGCTGCAGCGCCAGCGTCCGCCGCTCCTCCAGCGCCAGCTCCTGTTCCAGGCGCTCCCGCGCGCTGCTCATGCTCTGCGTGTGCCTCTGCAGCACGGCGTTCTGC